AGTACAGATTTAAGTACTTTTGTTAGGTTGAGTCCCCACCAGGATTCAAGCCCACACTCTCAGTGGCTGACTGGGTTAGATCACTGACTTTGTGTGCTGGCGATTAGACACTGAAGGTAGGGGTTCAAATTTTGGACGAGATTCAACCCAATGAAAGTACAAGAATCTGTACTTAACTGAGAAAGTGTAATCCCAAACATAACATCTGTTACATTTGACCGCGTTCTACATGCCTTGGACCTAGTTGGTGATAGATCCCTGTCAAACGAGGCCAAGCTGGACTTTTAAGTGCAACTTTGAGAGTTGTTCAGTTAGATTCAAGGATTTCATGGATTTGTTGAACCCTTTAGATATTTATAACTTATATTTTGTTAATTTTTTGGATTTGTTTGAGATTATTCATTAGCCTGTGAGAAATTCATTTATACCATTTGCCAGTTAACAATACTCAATTCTATATCCTAAACGCTGGGCATTATTTCTTCACATGCAATAAATACACAGAATAAAGACAAAAATCATTTCTATTTAAAGGGGTTTAGTATCAACACAGTACTATGGGGATGTGCATCCTTCCCTAGCAATGATCTACACAAATTGTTAAAGTCTATTCATGATTACACAATAAGATCTGATTGATTTGATGTTTCGTAAATATTTGATATTGACTGCCAAACAAACGAATCAATATTCATGCATTGCTGATAAATAAGACTTGTAACAATGTGACATCTGTTTCTAGATTTACTTGTACCGTATATAACCGTCTATAAGCCGAATTTTGAGGATAAAAAAGGCAGTCTGTAGAAGGGGTTAGGCTTATCTATGAGTTACGCTTTATTCAAACTTTTTCCAGGGGTAAGAAAACATCGTATCACTTCACGTGAACAAACAACAGAAGACATTTTTGTCAGTAAAGACGTCAAATTTGCAATTAAACATCACTAGACAAGATTTTTTACCTTTTAAGTTCTAATTTGTTTTTGCTGGGCATTGTATAATTTGCAGGGATTAAGATTATCGTGTGTATTTGAGCCGGAAATAGCAATCAGCTGTGCACACGTTTCCCGGCGATCAAGTTCAAACATACATAATAATATAACGGGATGAATTCTGATGCAGTCATCAGTAAATATAATACAGAGTGCTATTATTTAACCCAAATAAATATATCCTAGCATTGTGTAATTTTAATTACAGTTTTTGCTCTATAAATGTAAAATATATATAATCAACACTAAGGTTATACGGACCCTCATGAACGTGGTAAGCGGCACATGGAATGGGGTAAAATAAGCAAGCCATTTAAAATCACATTTTACTGATGTTACTGTAAACTAGCAGTCCATGGATAACAAGGCTGTAATCAGTTCGTGATTGTTGAATGGGGTAAAATAAGCAAGCCAGTTTGTTGACATGTGATCGTCCAACTACAATATGTATGATATTTAGCAAAACAAAATATATTATCCATTTTCTGTCAACTACACTTCATTTCGAGGTGTGCGTAGACACAATATGATTGTGAATTCTTTGAATAATGCGGACCGAGGTTGTAATTACCGGTAACTGCCAGTTGTCTGTGGTGAATTGTGACTCTTGTCACAGGGTAGAATTGTGACTCTTGTCACAGGGTAGAATTGTGGCTCATGTCACAGGGTAGAATTGTGGCTCATGTCACAGGGTAGAATTGTGGCTCATGTCACAGGGTCACAGGACTCTTGTCACTAGAGAATTGGCTCATGCTCACAGGGTAGACAGGGGTAGAATTGTGACTCTTGTCACAGGGTAGAATTGTGGCTCATGTCACAGGGTAGAATTGTGGCTCTTGTCACAGGGTAGAATTATGACTCATGTCACAGGGTAGAATTGTGGCTCATGTCACAGGGTAGAATTGTGGCTCTTGTCACAGGGTAGAATTGTGGCTCATGTCACAGGGTAGAATTGTGGCTCTTGTCACAGGGTAGAATTGTGGCTCATGTCACAGGGTAGAATTGTGACTCTTGTCACAGGGTAGAATTGTGGCTCTTGTCACTAGGTAGAATTGTGGCTCATGTCACAGGGTGTGGCAGACTAGGTAGAATGTCACAGCTCTTGTCACTAGGTAGAATTGTGGCTCATGTCACAGGGTAGAATTGTGGCTCATGTCACAGGGTAGAATTGTGGCTCTTGTCACTAGGTAGAATTGTGTCACAGGGTAGAATTGTGACTCTTGTCACTGGCTTGTGGCTCATGTCACAGGGTAGAATTGTGGCTCTTGTCACAGGGAATAGAATTGTGGCTCATGTCACATGGGTAGAATTGTGGCCTCTTGTCACAGGGTAGAATCGTGGCTCATGTCACAGGGGTAGAATTGTGGCTCATGTCACAGGGTAGAATTGTGGCTCATGTCACAGGGAATTAGAATTGGGTGAATTGTGGCTCATGTCACAGGGTAGAATTGTGGCTCATGTCACAGGGTAGAATTGTGGCTCATGTCACAGGGTAGAATTGTGGCTCATGTCACAGGGTAGAATTGTGTCACACAGGGTAGAATTGTGACTCTTGTCACTAGGTAGAATTGTGGCTCATGTCACAGGGTAGAATTGTGGCTCATGTCACAGGGTGGGGAAGTGTGGCTCATGTCACTAGGGTAGAATTGTGACTCTTGTCACTAGGTAGAATTGTGGCTCTAGAATGTCACAGGGTAGAATTGTGGCTCTCATGTCACAGGGTAGAATTGTGGCTCATGTCACAGGGTAGAATTGTGACTCTTGTCACAGGGTAGAATTGTGGCTCATGTCACAGGGTAGAATTGTGGCTCATGTCACATCGTCACAGGGTGGAATCACAGTGGCTCATGTCACAGGGTAGAATTGTCACAGGGTACTCTGTCACAGGGTAGAATTGTGGCTCATGTCACAGGGTAGAATTGTGGCTCATGTCACAGGGTAGAATTGTGGCTCATGTCACAGGGTAGAATTGTGGCTCATGTCACAGGGTAGAATTGTGACTCTTGTCACAGGGTAGAATTGTGGCTCATGTCACAGGGTAGAATTGTGACTCTTGTCACTAGGTAGAATTGTGGCTCATGTCACAGGGTAGAATTGTGGCTCATGTCACAGGGTAGAATTGTGACTCATGTCACAGGGTAGAATTGTGGCTCATGTCACAGGGTAGAATCGTGGCTATTGTCACAGGGTAGAATTGTGGCTCTTGTCACGGGGTAGAATTGTGGCTCATGTCACTGGGTAGAATTGTGGCTCTTGTCACAGGGTAGAATTGTGGCTCTTGTCACAGGGTAGAATTGTGGCTCTTGTCACAGGGTAGAATTGTGGCTCTTGTCACAGGGTAGAATTGTGGCTCATGTCACTGGGTAGAATTGTGGCTCTTGTCACATGATAGTATCGTGGCTCGTGTTACTGGGTAGAATCGTGGCTCGCATCACTGGGTAGAATTGTGGCTTGTGCCACAGGATAGAATCATGGCTTGTGTCACTGTGTCACTCTGTCTTCTTTTCAATTCTATCAAAGGATGACACTTTGTCACAGCCTGTGAAGCTGTGAAACATTGGAAGGGATCTACTTTTCGCAGGACCCAGACCTGATGCAAGTTCATGAATTACACTATAGCGGAAGTGTTTTCCGGTACCAAACCCCACCCATATCTCTTCAACATTGAGAATGCTTGTTGCAGCTATGGTCAACACAACCACATCAGTGTCAACAGTATGGCTGTAAAACATCTTCCATCCTTTATGAGAAGCATCAGACAAGTGAAGCAACTTTCTTTTATCTGCCTCTTCATAGTTACAGGGGGCCAATTCCAAAAGGTCTTCTGGTTGATAGGACACCACATACTAGTATTCACCAATTGGGCTGATGACTTGTTTGTTTCTACCAAGGCTATTTTCTGTGCAAGGAAAGCAAAAAGTAATTTCTTGTTGGCATCACACCTCAGGAATTTTGGCCAGTTCTGACGAACATATGAATTGGCTTCCACTCGTCGTCGTTTTCCACTTCCTCTTTTTGTTCTTGCACTGGATTTTACTCTGTCAGTTTTGTATTCATCCCAGACAATATCCACTCTCTGATTAGTGTCCAGAAGAGTCTGCAAGTACTTCAAGAACACAATATAAGCATATTTATCAAATGCTATTTGAGCTGCTGGTTTTAGCATGTTTATTACTGCAGCTCCATCAAGGATTGATACGTTAACATCTGGTTTTGAGTCAGCTGGTGGTGAAATTTCTTCAAATCAATTGAGTAGAACTGATTTTGGATATGGAGTTAGAGAACCTTGATGAGATATAGATGGTGGGCAAGACTGATTTTGATGTCTGAAAAACTCATCCAGGTTTCCATCCCTTTACTCGTCTGTATATATCTTGTCTTCATGGAAGAAATTCTACATCCGTATTGTTGACACTGGTGTGGTTGTGCTAGCCATAGCTGCATCAAGCGTTCTCAATCCCTTTCAATTTTTCACTTTTTGGAAAATTCATTTTTCTCCCCACTTCCCCCCCCCTAAAATGAAAAATGGCCCAAATCTGCGAGGCTTCTCGTATTGAATTTGCAAAGAAATGATAAAAATATATTAGATCATGGGGTGATGTCATACTTCTTTTAATGATGCAGTCTATATGGTGGTCATTTTGAAAAATGGCCGCTAATTTTCCCATTTTCGGGTAGTCATGATATATATTGACTTCCGTAGACCTAACTGTTAAAGATAAAAAGCATGTATATATGGAAAATGATCAGCTATGAATTTCCTACAATTTGATATATGACTTATGAGAATTGGAGAATTTTAAAAGAAGTTATGATGAAAATAGTTGAAAAATTAATTTTTTCACTTTTTCCCTCCCAAAATATGAAAAGTATAAGAAATCTGCAATCTTTATTTAATAAGAAAGGGTATAAGCTACAATCATGCCAAATTTCATGCTTGTAACACACAGTGCACAATTTGATCACTTATCCGCTGGGCTATTTGTCTTCTTCTTGTAAATGTTGTAGACACAAGTAACCATGGCAACAGAGAAAAAGGTGGTAATGGTTACTGGAGGCACAGGTCTTGTGGGCAAGGCCATAGAGAATGTTGTCTCAAAAGAACTGAAAAGGGATGACGAAGAGTGGCATTTCGTGTCGTCAAAAGATGCAGATCTTTCGTGAGTACAGCTATATTTTTAAACTGAATGGGGCCCAGGTGGCCCAGGCCAAGCACTGCAATTTATTGTTCAGAGTTGTGCCATGTGTTTGGAATACTGGTTCACTGTGACCATGTTTGTAGGTTTGGAAGCGTATTCATTTATCCAAGGGATAACAAAGAAGGGGCGATGGGCTAGTCTAGTGGTTAAAGCATCCACTTGTCACCCCGAAGACCTGGGTTCGATTCACCACATGGGTACAATGTGTGAAGCCCATTTGTGGTGTTCCCCGCCGTGATATTGCTGGAATATTGATAAGAGTGGCATAATACTAAACTCACTCACTCACTTTAACAAAGAGGGCTTGGCAGGCAAATTGGGGTAATGTCATTTATTATTGTTCCTTTTTTCAGAAATGTTTTAATATTTTATTTTGAGATTGTGTTCAATGCAAGTGTATAAAGCTAAGCGCAAAAATATCCCATTTTGGGAACTATTTTCGGTGAAATCCAGGTTATGTCTAGCATGCCTACAAGACATTAATTATTACTTAGGGACCGTTCATAATTTATGGCAAGGTGTGGTGATGATGATTTTTATGCAGAAGCATGTACTATATGAATGACACCCCCTAAAATTTACGTACAAAGTAAGTGACCCCCCTTGCATATCATTTACAAAGTCAATGACTCCTCCTTCCCATAATTTTTAAGCATAAATCTTAAATATTTTAATGTACAAAATGGGTGACCCCTCCTTAAAATCATCATCACTCTCTCTTGCCATTAATTATGAACGGTCCCTTTTAAACATTGACATGAATTTGGAAACTGTGCTGCAGACTTGGGACCCAATATTGGTCTCTGAGTAGTTTGTGATGAATTGCTTAAGGCTTCCTCCAACAGCTGACAAACTGTGGTATAATTTAAGACTGTTCAAGGTGGTGGTAAAATTCCTCACTATTTGTTCGATTCCCCACATGGGTACAATGTGTGAAGCCCATTTCTGGTGTCCCCCGCTGTGATATTGCTGGGATATTGCTAAAAGCGGCTTAAAACTAAACTCACTCACTCCTCACTATTTGGATTGTGTTCTTTGTTACGTTGTGTATATTAATGAAGAATATAACACCTTTTTATGCCTTACCAGCAGTACTGATTGTTCAAAATTATATTTTTCAGAGACCTTGCACAGACTGAAGCATTGTTTCAGAAGATAAAGCCAACCCATGTCATCCACTTGGCAGCTCTTGTTGGAGGTCTGTTCCGCAACCTCAAGTACAATCTTGACTTTCTGGTATGTTTTGCTCATTTTGACCACAAATTTATGATCATTCTGGAAAGGATATATTTGGGTGTTTTTGTTTTTGTGTCCAGGGGACTATCATTTTCGGGTTCATGGGAATGGCACCCCGAGTATAACTTGTGTGATGTGTCATGCGTCGAAGACTTTGAAGCAGAAGAGTATGTAGTGATATTGAAGAAAATAGACCATTGACACCCAGAAGTTTCATTATATGACCAGAATTTAGGGTAGGTGGGGTCACCTGGAATGTTCGCTCATCATGTTGAAGGTTGGTGTGGATTTCTGGTGTCTCCTTTCATAATATTGCTGGAATATTACTAAATATATCGCTAAACTATCACCTTGTAGAAATATTATTGCCACTACATGTCATCGACCACTACAGGCCTAATCCTACTGTTAATAAATATGAAAGGTATTTTCATCATGTTACTCAAATAATACAATTACAACTTAATTGTGTTCATTTTTAAATAAAAATTCAAGCTTACACATTTATGATTGAAGGAAGCAAAAACTGAGTCAATTCTTTCCATTTGTAAGATGTCACTATATCCACTTACCTATATCTTAAATGTTTTTATTTTTACGTAATCCGAAAATTATCAGAAAAAGATCTTTTTACTAATATATATGGCCACCCATTTCCCGACAACAGTGGCTTTCTGCTCAGTAACATGACACAACACCAGGAAATACGTCTGTTTTTGAAGCCTAATGCAGTCGAACCTCGTTTATCCGGACATTTTGGTTACACTCGGAAATAGGGTTTGGTTACACTCGTATAGCAAGGCGTCCGGTTAACTGGATCAAACTGCATCAAATTCCACAGCTCAGCTTAATCCTAATCCTAAGTAACATGTGTTTTCGTTACTGATGAGATGTTCTCGCACCTGCCACAACTGAAGTGACACGCGTCCCTAGTGTTTTAATGGGTAATTAATCAATTCACATTAAACACCTGCCGAGAGATTAACACGCGTCCCTAGTGTTTTGATGGGTAATTAATCAATTCACATCAAACGCCTGCCGAGAGATTAACAATGAATACACTTAGTCGTGCGGTAAACAATACTGACGTGAAACATACACATGCACATGTGCACAGATAATTTTTAAATGGAAATCTACGGGAATGGTTTGAAACTTCTCCGTCCGGGTCCGGAAGCGCGGGGCCAGCTAAGCGAGTACAATTACTGAACGGATATGAATAAGGGTTTTGTTTCAAAAGAAGGGGTTGTTTGTGTGTACATATTTCAGATTTTATCATTTTATCCAATGACAAAACCAATCCTTGTACTTTATGTGAGCTTTTTCTTTATGGTAACATTTCATTCCATAATAGTCACTACTATGTGAAGAAACAAAACCGTCCACTGGTGGGGGGGTAGTGGTGATGCTGTTTTCCTGTTTGTTATTTGTTTGTAAAGAAATGTTGCCAGTCTTACACGATATCTTAGATAATACAGCATATTTCCTGTTCATTAGTTTGTAAAGGTTGTAAACTGGCTTCCTGGTGATATATCATTGATAAATATGGAATTGCAAAGGAAGGCATACCAGCAGAAATGTCTTCATAGTACCATTTTATTCAACATCTTACCATCCATCATGTTGCGGATATTTTCTGTGTTCCAGAGGGTGAACAATCAGATCAATGACAACATCCTCCACACCAGCTACAAGTCTGGAGTGAAGAAAGTGGTATCATGTCTCTCCACCTGCATCTTCCCCAACAAAACCACATATCCTATTGATGAAACCATGGTAAGATAAACCACATATCCTATTGATGAAACCATGGTAAGATAAACCACATATCCTATTGATGAAACCATGGTAAGATAAACCACATACCCTATTGATGAAACCATGGTAAGATAAACCACATATCCTATTGATGAAACCATGGTAAGATAAACCACATACCCTATTGATGAAACCATGGTAAGATAAACCACATACGCTATTGATGAAACCATGGTAAGATAAACCACATACCCTATTGATGAAACCATGGTAAGATAAACCAGATATCCTATTGATGAAACCATGGTAAGATAAACCACATATCCTATTGATGAAACCATGGTAAGATAAACCACATATCCTATTGATGAAACCATGGTAAGATAAACCACATACCCTATTGATGAAACCATGGTAAGATAAACCACATATCCTATTGATGAAACCATGGTAAGATAAACCACATACCCTATTGATGAAACCATGGTAAGATAAACCCTACCCTATTGATGTGGTAAGATAAACCCCTACCCTATTGATGAAACCATGGTAAGATAAACCCCCTATCCTATTGATGAAACCATGGTAAGATAAACCACATATCCTGAGACAGACCCCCAACCCCACTGATGACACTATGGTGAGACAGACCCCCAACCCCACTGATGACGCTATGGTGAGACAGACCCCCAACCCCACTGATGACGCTATGGTAAGACAAACCCCAAACCCCACTGATGACACCATAATAAGGCTGGGACCCCCAACCCGTCTGATGACACTATGGTGAAACAAACCCCCAACCCCATTGATGACACCATGGTCAGAAAAACCCCAACCCCACTGATGACACTATAGTGAAACAAACCCCCAACCCTACTGATGACACTATGGTAACACAAACCCCAACCCCACTGATGACACAAACCCCCAACCCTCACTGATGACACCATGGTAAGACAAACCCCAACCCCACTGATGACACACCATGGTAAACAAACCCCCACCCCACTGATGACACTATGGTGAGACAGACCCCAACCCCACTGATGACACTATGGTGAGACAGACCCCAACCCCACTGATGACACACTGATGGTGAGACAGACCCCAACCCCACTGACCCCCCCAACCCCACTGATGACACTATGGTGAGACAGACCCCCAACCCCACTGATGACACTATGGTGAGACAGACCCCCAACCCCACTGATGACGCTATGGTAAGACAAACCCCAAACCCCACTGATGACACCATAATAAGGCGGACCCCCAACCCGTCTGATGACACTATGGTGAAACAAACCCCCAACCCCATTGATGACACCATGGTCAGAAAAACCCCAACCCCACTGATGACACTATAGTGAAACAAACCCCCAACCCTACTGAAGACACCATGGTAACACAAACCCCCAACCCCACTGATGACACTATGGTGACACAAACCCCCAACCCTACTGATGACACTATGGTAAGACATCCCCCAAACCCCACTGATGACACCATGGTAACACAAACCCCCCACCCTACTGATGACACTATGGTGAAACAAAGCCCCCAACCCTACTGATGACACTATGGTGACACAAACCCCCAACCCCACTGATGACACTATGGTGAAACAAAGCCCCTACCCTACTGATGACACTATGGTGAGACTGACCCCCAACCCCACTGATGACACCGTGGTAACACAAACCCCCAACCCTACTGAAGACACCATGGTAATACATCCCCCCCAACCCCACTTATGACACCATGGTAACACAAACCCCCAACCCCACTGATGACACTATGGTTAAACAAAGCCCCTACCCTACTGATGACACTATGGTGAGACTGACCCCCAACCCTACTGATGACACTATGGTAAGACAAACCCCCAATCCCACTGATGACACTATGGTGAAACAAACCCCCTACCCTACTGATGACACCATGGTAACACAAACCCCCAACCCCACTGATGACACTATGGTGAAACAAACCCCTACCCTACTGATGACACTATGGTGAAACAAACCCCCTACCCTACTGATGACACTATGGTGTGACTGACCCCCAACCCCACTGATGACACCATGGTAACACAAACCCCCAACCCTACTGAAGACACCATGGTAACACATTCCCCCCAACCCCACTGATGACACCATGGTAACACAAACCCCCTACCATTTTGAAATGCCCTTTTTATAAAACCATAGTAAGATAAACCATCTACTCCTATGTTGAAAGTATTATTAACTATCCACTTATCCCATATTTGAAACCAACTGAATTTTGGAAACCTATTCAGAAAGGGCCAACAAACATGAGCAAAACCCGTACCCCCAGCTCTGGGGCTGTCACTGAACTGCTGTTCCCTTAATTTCACATCGGCAATGTTCGCAATTGTCACTTTTTGTTATTGATACTTCTATAGGCAACTTTTTTAAAGAGTGTTTATGCAGTATGGACAAATAGTGTTGAGGCGAGCAAGCAAAATACAATTTGTGCTTTCTTCTCGGGCATCTGGATGACCTGTGACAAAGTCTTTGAGTGTCTGTAGAATGCTTCTCTGTCTGTTCCTAGGTTCACAATGGCCCTCCACATGACAGCAACTTTGGATACTCTTATGCCAAACGTCTTATTGACATTCAGAATAAGTAAGTGAAGATTGTGTGAACTGAAATCTCCTGTCTCCATGCTTGAATCCAGAATAATGTTAGATACTGAAGTAGATTTCAAATCCCCCTCTTGTCAGTCATATAGTTAGTGAGCCTTAAAAACACTGTTCCATATTGAAACTTCCTGATTGCTCATATAAATGTAAACAAAGGCAATAACACTAATTCCAATGCTGCCAACATTTTTCTGGCACTACAAAACATTTGATTCCATTGATTAGTAGACCGCCTCCGTGGTGTAGTGGTTAGAGCGTCCGCCCGGAGAGCGGAAGGTCGCGGGTTCGATCCCCGACCGTGTCATACCAAAAGACGTTAAAATATGGTACTTGTTGGTCCCTGCCTGGCGCACGGCATTAATGGGTACAACAAGGAATGGTCGGCTCGGAGTCAGCATAATGTGTCTGAGTGGGGTATTCATGCTTCACTGCGGCATGGTATGTCAATGGGCTAGCACTATAAAACCAGCTTAAGTCTGGGCTAGTACAAGCAGCGCACATACAGATATATTTACAACAGTTTCTACAGCCACTGTTATAACTTACACCTAACCAAAACGTTTCACGTATCCAACTAGTATTGCTTGAATGTTGCCAAAACTGGCATAAGACCATACTTACATGCTCTCTCACCCAGACATCAACATAAGACTGAACTACATCAAAATTGAGTTCATATGAAGTTTCTAGAACAAAAGTAAAGACATTGACTGATATTTCAGAGCCTATCACAAGCAGCATGGATGCCACTTCACTTCTGTAATCCCTACCAATGTGTTCGGTGCCCATGACAACTTCAACCTGGAGGATGGCCATGTACTACCAGGGCTCATGCACAAAGTCTACATGGCAAAGAGTGAGTCAACATTCCATTCATCAATATCAAAATTGTAGCTGGCCTAACACATGTCCGCCTTCATTACCACTGACTTGGACCATGTATTCTCAGTTTTGCTCTAAAACATGATTAGGCATCAACAGTAGTTGTCAGAAATTAGCATGAGATGATAAAGATATGACTTACATTTTGGAAGGGTGCATTGGTTGCTCAGTTATGTCAGTCATCCCAATTCCCCTGTTATCATGGGTTCGAATCCCAGTTTGTCCTGATTTTGTTTCTAGGTTTTTCAGCACCATGCTCATTTTTGTGGATTTCACCAAAGTGGTAAATGTTTGAACACTGAATCATTTTGGGCTTTTCTCCCACGTCTGGCTGATACATCGTTATATTACAGGAATATTCTTTAAAGCCACTCACTGTCTCAAACAAACAGAAGAAGACTGATAATAATGACTGAAAATTATCACAGAAATATTGACAATAATGTATAAGTGTGTTTGACTGCTTCTTTCAGAGAACAATACACCCTTCACTGTATGGGGCACCGGCTCGCCACTAAGGCAGTTTGTCTACTCCCTTGATCTGGCACGACTCTTTGTGTGGGTGCTTCGGGACTATGAGGAAATAGATCCCATCATCCTCTCTGGTAAGTCTAAACATCAGAGATGTAACTTTTGCCTTTCATATCAAGTCATAAAAACATGCTGGGACGTAACTTACAAACTGTAGTGGTGTTATACCAAACACTTTTACTCATGCACTGCAATGACTGCACAGCAAGTTGTTCAATTAGTACAATTATCTAAAACTTTCTTTTAATCATACTTCAATGGTATCATTGTTCCTGATTTTAACCATTTGTTTTCCTGGTCCAGCATCAAGAATATAACACTTTTCACATCATTGTGGAGTCCCAAAGACCATGAATTTTCAATGAATACATATTGAAACCCTTTTCTCTGGTCTAAAATATTGCATTGCATCAACTTTTAAGTATAACACTTTTCATATTGCTGGAATATTGCTAAAGGCAGCGTTAAACCAAAGTCACTCACTCACTCAGTTGCACATTTGAACCAAACTTTTGAGGTCTTCAGCAAGTAACCGGGAAAGGGTTGGGTGGTAAGAGTTCAGCTACTTGGGTAGTAAATTAGACTCTTCCCAGCCCCCATTGTGTTATAACAGTTTTTATTCTATCATAGATGATGGGGAAAATATATCTGATGTATATGTGTATCTGAATGAGTGTGTTATTTCAGTTGGAGAGGAAGATGAGATCAGCATCAAGAGAGCAGCTGAGTTGGTTGTTGAAGCCATGGAGTTTAAGGGAGAGGTCAAGGTGAGAACACTTGTGTGGCTAGCTTGGTCACAGAGGATAAAAGCTGCCTTTTAGCTTAAGCTCATCCTGGTCGGTCTGTAGTATGGTCAGGTCGTATTGTGTAGTCAAGGTCATCCTGTTTTTAGTCAGGGTCATCCTGTGTCTAGTCAGGGTCATCCTGTGTCTAGTCAGGGTCATCCTATGTGTAGTAGTCAGGGTCATCCTGTGTGAAGTCAGGGTCATCCTGTGTGTAGTCAGGTTCATCCTGTGTCTAGTCAGGGTCATCCTGTGTCTAGTCAGGGTCATCCTGTGTGTAGTGTCAGTCAGGTTCAGGGTCCTGTGTCTAGTCAGGGTCATCCTGTGTCTAGTCAGGGTCATCAGGGTCATCCTGTGTGTAGTAGGGTCAGTGTGTAATCCTGTTTAGTAGTCAGGGTCATCCTGTGTCTAGTCAGGGTCATCCTGTGTGAAGTCAGGGTCATCCTGTGTGTGTCAGGTCATCCTGTGTGTAGTCAGGGTCATCCTGTGTCTAGTGTGTGTAGTAGTCAGGGAAATCCTGTTTAGTAGTCAGGGTCATCCTGTGTCTAGTCAGGGTCATCCTGTGTGTAGTCAGTCATCCTGTGTGTAGTCAGGGTCATCCTGTGTGTAGTCAGGGTCATCCTGTGTCTAGTCAGGGTCATCCTGTGTCTAGTCAGGGTCATCCTGTGTGTAGTAGTCAGGGTCATCCTGTGTGTAGTCAGGGTCATCCTGTGTCTAGTCAGAGCCATCCTGTGTCTAGTCAGGGTCATCCTGTGTAGTCAGGGTCATCCTGTGTGTAGTCAGGGTCATCCTGTGCCTAGTCAGGGTCATCTTGTGCATAGTCAGGGTCATCTTGTGCATAGTCAGGGTCATCCTGTGCCTAGTCAGGGTCATCCTGTGTTTAGTAGTCAGGGTCATCCTGTGTGTAGTCAGGGTCATCCTGTGTGTAGTAGTCAGGGTCATCCTGTGTCTAGTCAGGGTCATCCTGTGTAGTAGTCGACCCGTGAAGATCTGGGGTAGAATAGGTCTTCAGCAACCCATGTGCTTGCCATAACAAGGCGACTTTCTTGTCGTAAGAGGCGACTAACGGGATCGGGTGGTCAGTTTCACTGACTTGGTTGACAAATGTCATCGGTTCCCAATTGCGCAGATCGATGCTCATGCTGTTGATCACTGGATTGTCTGGTCCAGACTCGATTATTTACAGACCGTCGCCATATAGCTGGAATATTGCTGAGTGCGGCGTAAAACTAAACTCACTCACTCACTCACTGTGTAGTAGTCAGGGTCATGCTGTGTGTAGTCAGGGTCATCCTGTGTGTAGTCAGGGTCATCTTGTGCATAGTCAGGGTCATCCTGTGTCTAGTTAGGGTCATCCTGTGTTTAGTAGTCAGGGTCATCCTGTGTGTAGTCTGGGTCATCCTGTGTGTAGTCAGGGTCATCCTGTGTCTAGTTGGGGTCATCTTGTGCATAGTCAGGGTCATCTTGCTTGGATCATCCTGTGTGTAGTCAGGGTCATCCTGTGTGTAGTCAGGGTCATCCTGTGCCTAGTCAGGATCATCCTCTGTGTAGTAGCCAGGGTCTTCCTGTGTGTAGTCAGGGTCATCTTGTGCATAGTCAGGGTCATCATGTGTCTAGTCAGGGTCATCCTGTGTCTAGTCAGGGTCATCCTGTGTCTAGTCAGGGTCATCCTGTGTCTAGTCAGGATCATCCTCTGTGTGTAGTCTGGGTCATCCTGTGTGTAGTCAGGGTCATCCTGTGTCTAGTTGGGGTCATCTTGTGCATAGTCAGGGTCATCTTGCTTGGATCATCCTGTGTGTAGTCAGGGTCATCCTGTGTGTAGTCAGGGTCATCCTGTGCCTAGTCAGGATCATCCTCTGTGTAGTAGCCAGGGTCTTCCTGTGTGTAGTCAGGGTCATCTTGTGCATAGTCAGGGTCATCTTGTGCATAGTCAGGGTCATCATGTGTCTAGTCAGGGTCATCCTGTGTCTAGTTGGGGTCATCTTGTGCATAGTCAGGGTCATCTTGCTTGGATCATCCTGTGTGTAGTCAGGGTCAGCATGTGTGTAGTTTAGGTCATCTTTTGCATAGTCAGGGTCATATTGTTTGGATCATCCTGTGTGTAGTCAGGGTCATCTTGTGCATAGTCAGGGTCATCCTGTGTCTAGTTAGGGTCATCCTGTGTTTAGTAGTCAGGGTCATCCTGTGTGTAGTCTGGGTCATCCTGTGTGTAGTCAGGGTCATCCTGTGTCTAGTTGGGGTCATCTTGTGCATAGTCAGGGTCATCTTGCTTGGATCATCCTGTGTGTAGTCAGGGTCATCCTGTGTGTAGTCAGGGTCATCCTGTGCCTAGTCAGGATCATCCTCTGTGTAGTAGCCAGGGTCTTCCTGTGTGTAGTCAGGGTCATCTTGTGCATAGTCAGGGTCATCATGTGTCAGGGTCATCTAGTCAGTCAGGTCATCCTGTGTCTAGTCAGGGTCATCCTGTGTCTAGTCAGGATCATCCTCTGTGTGTAGTCTGGGTCATCCTGTGTGTAGTCAGGGTCATCCTGTGTCTAGTTGGGGTCATCTTGTGCATAGTCAGGGTCATCTTGCTTGGATCATCCTGTGTGTAGTCAGGGTCATCCTGTGTGTAGTCAGGGTCATCCTGTGTGTAGTCAGGGTCATCCTGTGCCTAGTCAGGATCATCCTCTGTGTAGTAGCCAGGGTCTTCCTGTGTGTAGTCAGGGTCATCTTGTGCATAGTCAGGGTCATCATGTGTCTAGTCAGGGTCATCCTGTGTCTAGTTGGGGTCATCTTGTGCATAGTCAGGGTCATCTTGCTTGGATCATCCTGTGTGTAGTCAGGGTCAGCATGTGTGTAGTTTAGGTCATCTTTTGCATAGTCAGGGTCATATTGTTTGGATCATCCTGTGTCTAGTCAGGGTCATCCTGTGTCTAGTTGGTCATCCACCCGTGAAAGTTCAGTAACCCATGCTTGTCGTAAGAGGCGACTAACGGGATCGGGTGGTCAGGCTCGCTGACTTGGTTGACACATGTCATCGGTTCCCAATTGTGTAGGTCGATGCTCATGCTGTTGACCACTGGATTGTCTGGTCCAGACTCGATTTACAGTCCGCCGCCATATAGCTGGAATATTGCTGAGTGTGGAGTAAAACTAAACTCACTCACTCATTAGAGTCATCCTGTGTGTAGTTAGGGTCATTTGCAATTGCACAGATTGACACCGGATTGTCTGCTCTAGAGTTGATTATGTACAGACTGCTTCCATATACAGTGAGACCCCGGATACCCGGACCCCAAATATCCGGAAACGTCGCCTTCCGGTCAATTTTCATAAAAAAACCAATCTCTTATGTTATAAAAGTGACTGTCTATAATGGATATGCGGTTTCTGTTCCCGGATGGTAAATTTTACAAACCAACTGGCTAAATCAACACAAAATTGACTCACTTATCCGCACGGGGCTTTGATCTTCCGCTGACCGTGTGAAGAGAAGCACGAGTGTCCCGCGTGTCTTGACACGAGACAAGGTCTGCTAATCCGGATTAATGACCGATCAGCAGGGTATTGGTGGTGATTAGTAGGCCTATCTGGCACAGAGTGAATTGTAATTGGCAAATCAAAACGACCATGCTGTTTTGGAAGTGATTTTAAACCAAAAGTGTATATTCAACACCTAAGCGTACAAGACAGAAATCCAGATATCCGGATATTCAGTTATCTGGACGATTTACGCCAAAAACGAATGTGTCCGGATATGCGGGGTCTCACTGTAGTTGGAATATTGGTGATTGCTGCATCAAACAACAAACAATGGCATAAACTGTAGCTGGTGACTTCCAAGACCTCCCTGTAGTCTAGGTAATAGAATGATGTTGTGATCCCAAGGTCATCCTGTACTGACTACATTAACCATGCTGTTTCAGTATGACACGACCAAATCTGACGGGCAATTTAAGAAGACTGCCAGCAATGTCAAACTCAGAAAGTACCGTCCAGACTTCAAGTTCACTCCAATAGAGCAAGGTAAAGTATATATGTGTATATATATTATGTTCATAATATCAATCATGTGTATGTCTGGTCAAGATAATTACAAGCCAAACACATTTTGTTGAAATATATAAAAAAAATTAATAATTTGTACTTTTGTTTCCAGCCATAAAGGAAACCTGTGAATGGTTTGTGGCCAACTTTGAGACAGCAAGAAAATGAGGCAACTGGTGCTGTGACTTAACTGTCCTTGAAGGTTCATAACTGGAATCCATTTTAGTTTTAGAATAATGTGTATCAAGTGGTTGATCTAAGCCAGGGGGCTGTAACTAGGTATTAGTGTCATTTCAAAGGTGCCTGGACAATTAGGAAACACAACGCCGTCGACTATTGTTATTGCCATTATTTATCACTAAAATAGCTCTGTGTGTGATAAAACTTAATCAGTGAAAAATGTCATTCTGGCAATAAGGAACATTATTTTCAGTTCTGACAAAACTTGTGGTTTACAGGAAAATTTTGGTAAAGTAATGGCAATTCATATTTAGATCAGCAATCAGGAAGCTTTTCCATTTTGCATTGCATGCAACTTTAACTTGGTTGGAAGGGGTTTACTGAGGACATTTCATAATTCTATTTCAAGTGGCAAGGGACTATATTAGTGTGGTGTACACAATGGATGTGTTCCTTCAATCATTGACAGGTGATCATACCTTTGTACGATGCCACTTAGAAATGAGGATATAAGCTAAATGGGATTTTTGATCATGTTTGTCCATCATCATTCTGAGAAAGTTGTAATCACAAATATTTAGTTTTGTTCACAAATATTTACTTTGCAGTTTTCCATACAGCAATATATTTTTTAAATCCGCACGTTTTTGTGTCATTTGAAGTGTCATTTTTTGAATCTCATTAATGTGATCATACTAGAGAGAACAACATTCCATCCTGTCTGTCTTACAGTGTGCAGTCCAAATAAATAATGTATTATATGGTGTTTTCAGTCTTATGACATAAAATCATGTCAGGGTAATGTTAGACCATGTAGGGGTATGTGGAAAAAAGAATGCCTGTTGTTGACATACCAGCTATCATTAGGGACGTTTCTCTTTGAATGTAGGATAAGATTATCAATATGACTCCAGTGGACAACTACAGCCTTTTTCTTTGAATACGTGTTGTCATGATGTAGTTGACCATTAACCTGTAACTTGAATATATTTATGGTGTATTTTGTGTAAGAGTGGATCCTTCTGATGGTGAAATAATGGAAGAATATCCCATTGATATTTTGAATTACTATTGTCTTATTTAGCCGTAAAAAGAATGATAATTGCAATGAAAAGGCTATACATTGTTGTACATTTTTTGTCTCATTTCTTGTGCTTGATTTATGAAATCAAAGTGTATAAGATTTTGTTTTCTATGTGTTGGTAAGCATACTGTGTATTAAGGCTTCAGTTACGTATTAAGATAATGTATTAAAAAAAATTATCACACGAGAAAATCACCAAACAATCAATCACCCTGATCAAAATTGTACTGAAACAGGGCCCACTTGCACAATGCGATCTTAGTGCTATGACTCTCTAAGGTTTGTGTTTACAGTTTGGGAGTTAAGGTCATCCTAGGGCTAAGATTGCTTAGTGCAAGCAGGCCCTGTTTTTTAGGGGTTTTGTTTCTTCTTACAACAGAATATCCTTCTAATACGAGGACACTTGTTCACCGGTGAACATTTGATGTTGCATAATGTATGTGGCCTGAAGTATACAGGGTACAGTATTTGTTATTTGAATTGTAGCTGGGGCGGATACAGCTTTTAGAGAAAAGGGGGGTGCACATTTCATATTCATCCGTATTCATGAGAGTTTCAATAGTCATTTAATAAACTTTCAAAACAAAAGGTGTGTGTGCCCCCATTGTGTGCAAGCGCATGCACGCACACACACACACACACACACACACACTCCACACCTCCCCTCTGGATTTGCCTATGGGCTGTATTCAAATGTCAGAGGAACCATCCTTAATGTTTAAACACATGTCCCTTGAATGTGTCTGTTCTGCAACATCAAGACAAAAGGTATTCACGTTAACTTTTAATCTTTTAGCTATGGTCACGTTTGTTATATCACATCTATTATCTTCTGTTTAGCCACACCACCTGCTTTGTCTGTTTTTGTTCAATTATCATCGTGGGCAGCTTGTCTTGTATTATGGGTGAATAAATCTTTTCTGGTTTTGATAATACACCTTTTGGTTGTTCTTTCTGAACTAAATGGCTCTTAAGATAAATACTTGTTGGTCTTAAAACAAGAATGATTGAGTATAAATAATAATAATAATAATGTGGGTATTTATATAGCGCTACATCCAGGTACTAATACCCGCTCATGGTGCTACAATACTATAGGAGAGAAAAAAAATAGTTAAAACTATTTACAGAGAGACAATTGAACATAGAAAGTCTAGTAATAGGCAAGACGAAAAAAGTGGGTTTTTAGAGACGATTTAAACGTGTCCAAAGATTCAGCATTCTCAGTATAGACTGATTGACACCACAAGTAGTACCCAGGTTGCGATTTCAGGTTTGTTCAGTACCTGCACCGAGTGCAACCTGGTTGATACGTTTGGCTGCACCATCAAAATTGTGTTTGCACCATAACGGTAATCTAATCATTAGTCTGTCTCACAGTCTCAACAGCCTAGCCCTCCCTGCAATGCTGAAGCTCTAAATGAAGCAAGTCAACATTTCCCCAGGTCTGAATCGCTGGGGCACCTTTTCAATTCAAATGGCTTTATTTGTTACAATCAAAATTCTATATATTCAGAGACTAAGGGTTAGTCTAGGTATATCATATGCAACTGTTTAAAGGGAATTTTTATACACCTGTATATGAATCCGTTAACAACAGTCTATGTGTACAGACTGCCTCCATGGTGTAGTGGTTAAAGCGTCCGCCCGGAGAGCGGAAGGTCGCGGGTTCGATCCCAGGTCACGTAATACCAAAAGACGTTAAAATATGGTACTCTAAAATATACCCACTCTGTGAGGTTTTTGCAGAATTTATTTATTCATTAACCTGTGCTGTGCCGTCTCCATCCGTTCTGGAACACCTGGCTGTCCCTTTCTCTGCACTCCTCCCTCGTAACAAATAGTGAACTGTGTCAATATTTTAATGATAGTTTGTTAAACAACTTTTTATTTTTAGGACAAAAATTCTGCAAAACCTCACAGAGTGGGTATGATGTTTTGATTATGATCAGCGTTTCATTGAGTATGTTATGTTTATTAGTTTTCGAGTTAGATTGCAATTTATCGGTCCGCTTTTGAGCCAAACGGACTATAGTTCCACACTCAACTCCACTGAGCCCACATTGATAATATCACACCAGAGTTCTAATATCTCTGCAGACAGAACAAGCTTCACACAATGTTAGGACATGGATTAGGAGATCTGCACAGTTCACTCTACATTTATCACAAGGTCTGTACACACAGCAGCCCAAGTGCTCACATTTGCACAATGAAGAGGCATTGTTGTTACAAGAGGGGGTATCTCTTGGCAAGTAGCCAAGCTCGGTGTGGCTCTATCGAGGGGTGTTATGTCCTGAAGTGTCTGAGATATTGATCTGATGTCATTCGTTGCTTCCAGCAGGACTTTTCGTATGACAGTCTTTTTACGATCTTCTTCCTGGAGAGTTGACTCATGAAGACACCTGAGGAGACGAAATTATCAATAAAATTCATCAGTTTGTATTTTTCAAGTACATGCACTATATTTGGTATAAATCCTATTCGTGTCTTCAATATGCAGTTTCTAAACGCAAACAAGCGTGAGAAAGAGTTTGTAGCAAAGTAGGTGCTAGCTGCTGCACAAGGAGCCAAGGTAGAACAACTTCCTTGTGTCGATATGTGATTCTGCCGAGTACCATCCAATCATTGAGTTACATATGTCAGATCTATATAGTATTTTTGGGAGCCCCTGACACATCTTTAAACAGAATTGCTGTGCCCTTTCAACAGTGATAATATCACCCTTTTTCAACCCTGACCACAATTCGTACCCAAACAAAGCTTTGGGCACACACACAGACTTGACAAGATTGGAGCTGGTAAGTGGATTCAACCCGCTGTTGTGTAAACGGTCGAGTTTAAACCAGGATGAGTAAGTACTATTGGCGAGAACACATCTCTCCATTCCAGAATGTGTGTTGCAGAAAATGGGTCACATACCCGGATGAATGTTCAACTCCTTCAGTTTCCAAAGTAGCCCATGGCATTATGCCACACAGTGTCGAAGGTTTTACTACTGTCCAAGAACACCACTTTCAGTGAGTCATTCCGTTCCTTGTAGTGGTAGACTTTCTCCTATAGGAAGAATGATGCATGAAGAGACGAGAGGCCTTTCTGGAAGCCACATTGCTGAGGATCCGGGAAGTCTGTGGAGTATTGAAATTGTGGGATCCGTTTAGCTATGACATGTTCGAAGAGGTTTGAAATGACAGGCAACAGAGTCACTCTTCTGTATGAATCTGGGGACGTCCTTGGTTTGCCTCCGCCTTTGAAGATTGGGATGATGATGCCTAGGGGGTGGGTGGGGGTCCCCAGGGGTCCCCCTTTCTCAAAAAGCTGTATCCACCCCTGCCACCCACCTGTGAATGGGTACTTCGTATAGATGGGAAAGTCACACTAACTTGGTGCGCCTAGTGGCTGCAAGAGATTGTATGATCCCCATGCAGGGCGTTTAGACTGACATCCAATGATTGGGGGAAAAACAAAGTGCCTGTGGGCAGCTCAGCTGGAACTCGGCGCATTATAAATAGACTATAAATACAATGGCTCACCATATGTGACAATGATTTCAACACAAAGGCGTTCTCGGTGCATTTACACGTGTTGCATTTACATGTGTTGTTAATGCATTGATTTGAACATATTTTCAATAATCCGTCAAAGTTGGTTTAACCTTAGGGACCGTTCATAACTCATGGCGGGTAAGGGGGGTGTCATCAATATTTTACACATGTACACATGCATGTACACCCCCCACCCACCCCCCACCATGAATTATGAACGGTCCCTTATACAGGAAAAACATGACAAATATTTTTAAACGCAAAATTAAACGCTCTTTTGTCCTACGTTTTTAAACACCGTTATGCGTTTATTATCTAAACATTGTTTATGCTATAAACCCAACTAAATATTTCTTAACGGTACTGGTGTTTATAATTTTATCTCCTAACTCTGTTCAGAGACCTTTAAAAAATGTCTCACCTTTTTAAACGCAAAACCCTGTTTGCAAGCTTTGTCGAGTTCGGGCTGTATGGATCTGGCGGTTTGGTGCTGACAAAGGACACCACGTGGCATCTAAGAAGAAGGTCACTATATAAGGCTGTGCTGTCAAACTTTCCTTAACGATGACTAGTCGTGTTCTCTCCTGCCCACAAATTCACTCCCCACACCATAACACCCCCACCGCCAACGATAGGACCTCCTGTAGACCTAAACGCTACATGCAGCGTATTTTCTCCCCTCGGTGGTAAAAACATTGTCTTTCATCTGCTCTGAACAGACAGAACGGGCTTTCATCAGTGAAGACGACACTCTGCCAGTCACGTCGCCGCCAACAATATACGGTCCAGGCCCACCTTAATCTCACAGGACGATGTTCCGCTGTCTGTTCTGTAAGGTCTATGAGCCTAAATTCATTCCTGGAGTACTGGCTCGCCTGTTTTGACTACCCCTACCCCCACAATATAAGGGCTTCAGACCCCTTACAACTGCAGTATGTTGAACCCAATTCTTATTTTAATCAATATAATACCAGAGTATGCTCATTTTTCATGTTCGCAAACGTTCACAGGAATGTATATTGGCAAAACTAACCAATTAATGGCAGTCAATTTTTTCACCATGTTTTGGGGTAAGCACTTTTTTCTCTCGATGTAAACGGCACCGGTTAATGTATTCATAATTAAATGAGTCGATATTTGTAGTGCATTGTGAATATATATTTGGTGAAGTTCTTGTTACTAGCAGTAACAGCCGGTATATTTACCGGTGATTTGGAATTGCCATTCCCTGATATTCCACATAGCTGTCGTGCATTTGTTGGGAGTCTATACATTATTTGGAAAGTTCTTGGTGAGTTCAACTATAGGCAGCGATAGCGAGTCCTTGTATATTGGTTGGTTGTTTAACGCCGCACTCAGCAATATTCCAGCTATATGGCGGCAATCTGTAAATAATCGAATGTGGATCAGACAAACCAGTGATCAACATCATGAGCATCAATCTACGCAAAATGCATCGGATACGATGACATGTGTCAACCAAGGATTCCTTGTAGATAAGAGGTCCATTCGTCGCGTGCATGTCAAGGGTCCAGTGGTCATAAGCTTATTGTGAGCCTCACCAGCAAGAATCAACTAAATCCTCCTTACTGATTTTAATCTGATGATGCAGGATATAAATTATTAAACGAGACAGATGACATACAAGCAGCTGGTCGTATGGCACACACAATCAGTCTGTCCTCTGACTGACAGCAGCATGTAATAAATTGAGACAGGCAGATCAACAATCAATCAATTTCCATCGACTTAGAAATTCACAAGGGCTTACTATATATATGTTATATGGAATACCGTAATGGTTGTTAAAATGACATGAAGTTTAAATATAACTACTAATCGTCCCCAAGATGTTTATGTGCATCTGAGTTCATAATATTTGGAACTTTTGTTATATACTCAAACAACTATAAAACAACGACAAAATATGATTGTTTTCAGGGAATGATTTACAAAAGAATGTTTCAATCAACGTACAAATAACCTTAGTCACGAAATCTGCCGCGGCCGAGATTAGTTTATAATTAATTCGAAAGTGAATTAAGTGTTAGGCAGACAAATATTTTCAGTCGTTCATTGTGTTAACATTAGAAATTCGGTATTCATTCACACCGCGCTGGAATTGAATACATCGCCATGAAGGATCAATATATGCATTGCTAGGTTATGCTGAAAATGTATACACATGCAAACATGAAAACTATTACAGGTCTACAGGTTTCATGACTTTACCCGATTTTCTACAGAAAACAGCTTTCTTGCATATTTTTATTAACTATTTCTATTTTGTATTCTTGGTCAGTCCTGCGTTACTCATAGATAATGTCGTCTTGTTTTTAGGGGGTTTGTTTGGTTGGAATAAGATGATTCTTTCTGTTTGGGATATGCCCACTGAAGATACTGGGATCCTGGAACAACATGATCTGTACCTAAAGGAAACTAACACTTCTTGTATTTCAAGAACTAACATTCATCCGAAAACAACAGTCTAAATCCAACAGTTTAACTTATCTCAACCGCCAAACCTGCACTCTGTACCCATTTGTTCTTGGGCCACAGGCAGTGTATCGTTCAGCAATTCAAGACGGCTGCCAGTCAAATCGCCCCAGCTACAAAATGCCCCAGCAAACAGGGGTGTAGTCAAAATGCCCCAATTTATTTAAAATGATTAAATATATGCCATAAATGCATAGTTTGACAAGAAGTTGACAAAAACATTTGGGGCATTTTGTCAAACTATGCATTTTAAATAAATTGGGGCATTTTTACTACCCTCTGGGGCAATTTGGCCAAAAATCTGGGGCATTTTGACCAAATGTGCTGGGGCATTTTGTAGCTGGGCCGATTTGACTGGCACCCTTCAAGACGGTTGTGAAGTTCACTTTACTTCATGACCGAGCTTTATCATTATCTCGGGTAATAATTACAAATCTAATATAATCTCTGCCCGTATATTGGTTGTAGGTACTTTCTCTCCTGGATGACCCGTGAAGGTCCGGGTTAGAACATTGATCTTCAGTAACCCATGCTTGTCGTAAGAGGCGACTAACGGGATCGGGTGGTCAGGCTCGCTGACTTGGTTGACTCATGTCATCGGTTCCCAGTTGCGCAGATCGATGCTCATGCTGTTTATCACTGGATTGTCTGGTCCAGACTCGATTATTTACTGACCGCCCCCACATAGCTGGAATATTGCTGAGTGAGGCGTGAAACTAAACTCACTAACTCACTCTCCCTGGATGAAATAGATATGCTGTTATACAGTTTTCAATCCTTGTACAATAATTTCAACGCAGTTTGATGCAAAATAGGTTTCAATCTAATAATTTGTTTAGAACAAAAACATGTTAGACTATCAAAGCAAAATGATTGGTACATTATTCAAATAATAAAGTACGTATTGTGGTTATATTACCTTAACAATAGTTTTGGGCAATGTTGCCTTGACTGTCTAGAAAAAGCTCGTGTGCAGTCATCACTAAGAACATGGCATAATGTCTCCCCATTTCATTTTACTTCACGTTTTGTGCTTCATTTTTCACTTCCATAAATGTATCTGTTGTTGTTTATATATTGTATATGTAGTGGTATATGATTGTTAAAAACTTCTATGTTCGCGAACCGACGAGTGAATTCTGGAATATTCACGGCTAAACTTATAGCCAATCAGAATAGAGGAAAATCTTTACTGCATGTGACCTGACTTCCGAATTATAACTTCCTGATTAGAGGTACAGTCCCTACTACAGCATGTCGCAGATTAATTACAGCAAATGGGATCACATTGAGGTACATATCTTGCTAGATATATAATCCATGCGTTCAATTTTGAGAGAAAACTGTTTAGCCGGATTCGGAGGGCTATGATAACCGGGACACTCATAGATGTTGGGAAAACGTCCCGTTTTCGATCGCTAAAAATCAAACCCATTGGCATTGTGACAATTTGTGTCAGATCATTATGGAAAACATCTTTCGGAAGTGACAGTTCCCCAACACATTCCCTAGAAAGACACCTCTTACTTGTCTTTGTCAATATCTCAAAGCAAATCATGCGTCAGAAATGCGAAATGTACTGTGCGCCTTTACCGTGTTTACTGTCTGACAGCACAGGGACTTGTAACGCAAAAACCTTCATCAGGTATGAATCCAGGAACTTTGCCCAGGAACTTTTGCCCACATAGGAACTTTGCCCAATACAGGGGAACTTTGCCCACAATATAAATTTTAATACTCACCCTCCTTAATACCCTGCTCAGGATGTGTTGTTTATAAAAGAGATCAAACATTAATTGCACTTTACCAAGGCTTCTTCTGCTTGTTCGTATTTCTTTTTTAATTACAATCATTGGGAATGTTCCCAAAGATTGGAGCTTAGTTGTAAGGGTTCATTAACCACGGAAGCAACTGTGTATTGACTACATCAACAACAAAAAAACAATGGAAAAATTTCTGAAGTCTGTTGGTGCCACTATTAGACTGAACTAAAACAATGAAACAACTACCAGCAATGAAAAAACAATGGTTAAATGTATTAGAATGAACAATGAAGTACTATTCATTTTTAACTATCAATGTGCTTTATTATATGCTATATCTGTGTAGTTTAATAAATAATATCATATCATTTATAAATTATATCATGTTGTATTATTATTGTGGGCAAAGTTCCTCCACTGTAAAAATTGTTTTGGGCAAAGTTCCTGTGGGCAAAGTTCTTTGTGGGCACAGTTCCTGTGGGCAAAGTTCGGTACACCATCAGGTATATGTTGACCACTGAGGATGCAAAGAATCCACTATGAGGCAAAAATGATATATATCACGAATTTAGCGTAACTAATACGAATGTTGGGCATCAAACATCGATAATGGGTCAGCCGTTAAAGTATTATTTAATAAATTTAGTGAAACAATAACAAAATATATTATTTTGACATGATTTCACCATGTTGACCGTGTTGATTTATCACGACAATGATCAGTGATCACATTATTGCCAAATTAATATATAAGAGTGTTCATATATTCCATTTTGCTCATTTTGATAAATAAAACCCAAATTCAAGTAAAAACACTATTTTACAAAAAGTTATGAATATTTAATTCTAGTCATTGCGAAAAAACAAACTGAACTCATGATAGGAATACAGTGCACTTCACCAAATATGTGAGTGATGTGTAACAGCCATAATTGTCACCGACGGGGTGTTAACACTATATAAAAGAATTACTTTTATATAGTGTAAGACCCTAACACTGGCAACAGTGACAAAATATTTGACGTTGATGCCAGTTTTTTTGCATTACAAGCCCCAGTGTCCGAGAGTACAGGTGAAAAAGCAAATAACATAATATCTGTTGCAGTTATATCATTTCGACATTCTGGCATCAGACTGACTGACTGAGTTTGGTTTTACGCCACTTTTAGCAATATTCCAGCAACATCACGGCGGGGGACACCAGAAATGGGCTTCACACATTGTACCCATGTGGGGATTCGAACCCGGGTCTTTGGTGTGACAAGCCAACACTTTGACCACTAGGCTACCCCACGGCCCCCTGGTATCAGAATATGCAGATACGTTGATCTTGACTCTGGGCATTGGTAATGATCGTTTTCATTGTATTGTTGTGACACTTACTATGTTTATCTCTGATGACGAGGATGACACGCACCCAAATATTGACACAGCTAGTTTGAATCGATGGCGCCACCAAGCCAGATTGGACAGGATGGAACAACAGCAGAAAAAGAAAGATGACTTGGCTAAGGATCGTGACAGGTGAATTTATGTTATGTACATTAAATGATTATATAACCAGCCTTCAAAATTTGTGCTGTTTTTCTAGCCCATGGCTGTGATGGTAGTTCTCTACTAGTTGTCATTGACTTGTACATATGAGGGATAAAATTCTCAACAAAAAGGAAAGAGAGAAAATGTTATCATATTTATTCAAGTTACTAAATGTGTTGACTTGGTTTCCACTAGTTCTCTTGACTTTGGTTGGGTTTCCACCTTTAGCTGGAATCCACTTAAGATTACATTGGCTTACACCTGCCTCCATTCAGCTGGCCTACTGTACCTGTTTAATCATATTCATGAAAATGTTTCATAAATGGTATGGTCAGAAAATTTAATGCTCTTAAAAATCCCTAAGCCCAAACTTGAATATCTTAGCCTCAGACTTTTTATCTACTCTTTGGAACGCTTTCATGTTTTGCAATAAGCTCTCAACATCTAGTCATAAATATAAACTATCTACATTTGTTCAAATGTTATTAAGTATAAATATGCTGCCGAATATTTATTTTTTCATCTTTGATAGGCGTTGAAAGCATATTATGTACTGTCTCAATCAACATGGTCAATTTAGAATTACACATGATTTGTAATTGCTTGCTGTTTGTGCATGTGCAGCTGCCATTCTGCAAGGCAGTATAAACAAATTATTATGGATCATTTGATGGGTTGATTCAGTGATTTACATTGGTGCAAATACCATGATGCATTTAAACTTAATGTGCAAGTCATAATATTGGTGCCTTACGATGGTAAAATTATCATGTTCTTACAGTTTTCTTGAAGAAGTACATCCATATGCATAATATAGAATTAAAGCAAACATTAAAGAACCACTAAACTTTGTTTTTTGTTACTCTTTTAACCATTACATATGAAAGATTTGTGGTTAGTCTTATGCGGAACACCAAATTTATTCTTTAAAAACTTGTGGTTAATTAATACCGAGCGATTAAAAGTGGCCAAAAAGTCGCCTGCTTCCCTCTCGCCCGCCAACGAAACCACAGACAGGTTACGTAACTCTGTCGCCAGAGCACTGCAGTGACGTCATATGAGGAACGATTTTCAGTTAGTTGAATAGAAAGTGTGTAGCACGCTCATCATTTGATGATTTCTGGACATGAACAACGACATGCCGAATCGTTGGTGTCACCATGCACAGATTTCCACAGGACCCGCAGTTAAGATTGCTAAATGGGTTATGTTTGTGAGTGCTGAAGCATTGTGGAAGCCTGAAACGATATCTTACTTGTGTTCAGATCGCTTCACGGAAGTTAAAGAATCAAAACTACTTACTAGTTATAGTAAAATATGTATATGATTGATGACCATAAAGATTTTCCATAACACAACTTGTAACATAACGATTTCTTCCTCGGAAGTGAGGTTGTGGTCGAAGTAACAATAATATTGTAAGTAGTATTATATTGACACTCACCTCTCGCTGCCAGGAGAGAAATTGTTAGGTTATTATCGCTATGTCATGCAAAATCCTATTGGCCATCAATAAAATACATATTTTACTACCAGTAGAAAGTAGTTTTGATTTTGGAACTAGGTGAAAACAAACCTAAATAGCATTTATCCACAGACTGGCGGATGTTCCGACAGGCGCCGCCATTTTGAAAATCGTAAAGTCTGTTAGAATTAATGAGATTATAGTTTGTTTTCATCAAGTTAGAAAATCAAAACTACTTTCTACACGTAGTTAAATATGTATTGGAATCATAACCAAAAGGATTTTGCATGACACAACTTATAACATAACGATTTCTTCCACGGAAGCGAGGTGGGGGTCGAAGTCAAATACTGTAGCGATAAATTTCTTGCTACATTCACATGGTTAATGTCCACACACCAGTATGTAGATACTAGTCAATGTGCGCGTCTTTATATTTGGTCTTATAATCCTAATTAGTTTATTATCATACTTTTATGCATTTTGAAACTAAATAAAAGCTGACGATCTGCTGATACTTATAGTGAATTTATAACAGAACTGTAATATCTAGACATTTTATAGTTTGCCAATGTGAATCATAATTCGCAACACACCCTAGTGTATGTTGTCTGTCTCATTACACTTCACGGCGAAAACAATGATTCTGTTGAATGCTACGACAAATGAATAAAAAACAAAATGCAAATATTAAAATTAAAACAGATTAAAGTTATAGGAACAATATCAGGCCATTACCTTGTTTGAGGAATGTATCCATCAATATCCACAAAACTGTTCCAAATGATGTGTCTTTTAACAGTTTAATATACGAAAAAGTGATAAATCTTTTCAGGTATTGGTGTATAGTCTCATTGGTCACCCAAGATAGCACACCTGGCAACTAATTGCATAATGTCCGCCTTTCATTAAAACAGTAATTTAGTTAGCCAATAATGGGCAATCAATCAATGTATTGCCGGTTAATCCTTTGAAAGAAGGACGTTGTTTTTACGCAGACACCGACACGGCAGAGTGTATTCAGTATAGATTAGTAAATCTACATACATAAACACTACCTTTTGACAAATCCGCTGTGTAAGATAAAAGTAATTAATCAATCAGCGTGTTATCGGTTAATCCTTTGATCGATGTTTATAATGTTGAATATTTACTCCAGACACAAGAAATGCCAAATGGGAACCTTTGTCGGGTAATCTAAGTGTGTTACCACTAATTATACCTGTTATAAATTTATTAACTGACCATCAAGTGAATGATGACAAATAACATGTGTAGGTTTATACCACCTAACACGGGTTACAACAAGGGGAGTATTAATTGCTGTATTGCATGTGAAAACTTATGGGCCGACACTGTTTTGAGAATACAAACAGATTTTACATGACATGATTAAATATCGAGGTAAAAAACACAGAAATGGGATCAATTTGGATCAGTCATTATACAAATAGGGCCTAACGACACCAATCAATTGTGACAGAAGCGTCTATGAAAACAAGTTGTAACTTCGAAACTAGGCAAAGCAGGAGACAAAATTAAATGCCAGTAGATTGTGAGAACATATAGCTTTCATTTTCCACAACAATTGTCACGATTTCAGGTTTATACAAGCCTCTAAACAAGATAATTTACCCCCTAAAATGTAGATGAATTCTGCATCGGCCCTCAAAGCTATTCCTCATATGACGTCACAGAGTCGCGCCGCTCTGATTGGTTGAAATTTCGTTCGGGGTGAGAATTGTGCACTGTTGTCAAAAAGGTCGATTTAAGTCAATTAAAGGTCGAAATGAGTAGTTTTAATGACGGGGTTTCATTTATAACGATGCCAGGTAGTGATTTATGTATTTTAACCCCCTAGGGTTTATGTGACCTTTAAAACCTGTTGCATGTTGATAGACATGGAAGATGGAATATTTGATTTGATAAGTCTCAGTAAAGATGATCAATTATGTAAGAATTGTGAGTTCATATATGAGGTATCTGGGAACTATTAGCACATATGTTGTGCTAAAGAAATAATGTTTGCTTCACACCTATGGGTAGTGAAAAGATGAATAGTTTTCCCTTAAATATCATAGTGAAGGTCAAAAGGGCTCTTAAACATCAAATGACATCATCTGAATACCATGTCACTCAAAAAGTGTACATTTTTGCAGGGTAAAGTACATTCTTATGTCAGCACCTGATCCTTCAAGGTCACATGCAACCAAAAAATCAAAGTTTTAAACTTATCCTATCTCAAGGTATCTCAGGGTATCTCACGGTATGCACTTCTCTCTCTTGATTCGACACTGAGTGGAACAATGTAAACTTTTTTCCCTAGGCCTCTCTTCTCCATCCACCCAAGCACTCTATGCTACCCTCATTATAAGACAGCTTCCTAGCTCTCATGCAAAGCATGCAGCATGCACCACTAGCTGCCCACGTGACTATCTCCGAATCATTCTCTTTCTTGTCGCACACGAGTGTGGACGTATTTTGCTTTGCTCAACGTTTTCAACTAAGTCTACAACATGGGGAAGTTGGCCAACCAAAAAAGAGGGGAAAATGCTCCCGGTGTAATAAAGTGTTCTCCGCGAGTGATCCATATGGGTATTGTTGACTGTATGGGACAGTGTAAATGGGACTCTCGTTGCGATAAATGCAAGGATCTTACCTTCTAGGCGTTTGGTGACTACACTCGTGCTTGCACTCGCTGCGTTGCTGACAGGGCTCATTATGCTGCTTCACTTGACGGACCCAGTCCCTCCAAGAAAGGAAAGTTTAAGCGTCCTACCTTGTCTGCTCGGCGGTCACAGTTCCCTCACTCGAATGAAGAGGTTTTCATGAGAGCGTCATCAGATTCTTGCTTATCGGAAGACATTCAGCATTTGTTGGGCTCTCAACATTCCGGCCCGAGTCCTTCGCCTTCGACAACGTCCCGGGTAGTGGTTGTCGAGACTGCTACCACACCTGAGGATACCTCTACACTGCGGGACCTTCGAACTACGCTCTCTGTCTCTCGTTCTCCGGACCAGTTATCTCGGCAACCTGGCTTATCTGTTTCGGACAAGAATCAGCTGATCTCTACGCCTGACTGCGCCTGACTGTCCAGCTACCTCGATCTTCTGCTTCGCCGAAGCCTGCCAGATCGAATCACAGTTCGCCGGATCACGCTTGGCCTGTCCGCTCCCCTCCACCTTGACTTTCGCCAGACTGTCCTGTCCACCTTCCCCAGAATTAGACCGGCTTTCTACGAAACAGCTTTTGCTCAACCGGTCTTCATCGAAACGCCAGTCTACGCTTCGGCATTCTCCGGATCGATCGTGTTCTAAACAGACTTCACCTAATCGAACTTCGTTGAATCAACATTCGCCGAAATGGAAGACTTCACTGAAACGGCATGTGATGAACTGACTTTTGCCGATACAGCTTTCTTCCAAGCGGTATTCAATGGAACGCCCTTCTCCGGATCATTTGTGTACTTCTCCGAACTCTGTTGGATCCTACAGGCATGTCTCTAAAGCACGGACACGGCTTTCACCGAGTCGTTTGGACCAAGCTCCTATTATTCTTCGGATTTGTTCACCGGATAGACCTGGTAGGTCTACTTCACCGCCGAGACGCCACTCTTCGACCGTTTGCATTCAACTGACTGACTGACTGACTGACAGACTGAGTATGGTTTTACGCCGCTTTTAGCAATCTTCTAGCAATATCACGGCAGGGGACACCAGAAATGGGCTTCACACATTGTACCCATGTGGGGATTCGAACCCGGGCCTTCGGCGTGACGAGCAAACGCTTTAACCACTAGGCTACCCCACTGCCCTGCATTCAACTACTTCGTTGAGATTGGTTCTTCGATCGAAGTCACCTCCTCTGCCTTCGTCTTCTCGTCAGCATGGGACTTCCTCTTCTTCGCATCAATCCGTCCACCTAGATCTCCTACACGATCGACTGCTGCCTATCGTTCAAGATCCAGGGATCATAATTCTCGATATGATACTTCCCCTCCTTGTTCCCGATCTCCTCATCGGGGTCTCCATATGTGCGTTTTCTTCCAGTTCGTCCCCCTCCAGACATCAATATGGTTCTACAGATAGGAGATCTACTCAACGGGGCTCCGATTATAGATCTCAGCATGCTACGACTTCTGACGGGACTCCTGCCTCCTTGCGTGTCTCTAGTCTACTCGGATTGTACCAGATTCCTGGACTCCTGCGCAGGAAACTACACCTCCCCCAGATCTGACTGTGATTATGAGTGCTATTTACTACTGCTTGGAATCAGCAACAGTCTGCTCCCTCGACAGGGACCGACTGTGCATTCATCGAGCTGGCATTCGTCAACAAATTGGCTGCTATCAACTCAGTTTTGGCTACTGACACAGGTACGAAGATCTCCACTCTTCCAGAATTGCAGAGTTTTCTTCACTTCTACAACTCACCGACCAGTCCAGAAAGTTCAGACTGTCCGTTGTCCTTCATCATGTGATTCTACAGACTACAAACCTTTAGAAGACAGGGACTTCGAGTGAAGTGACATTCTTCTTCCTGGTAGCATGGCTACTGCTGCTCGTATATCTGAGCTTCACACGCTTGTTGTCAGTCGCGTGCGGTTCGAGCCGAAGAAGCATGGCAAGTTCTTTTTCTGGGTCTCCACTGGGACTTCATCGTGAAAAACCAACTGCTAGGGCAACAGGACCGGAGGTTTACCATTCCCCCGTTGTCCATCTTTGATACTGATGATACTGAAGACCCTGCTGCCTCCAAGGATGGTCGATGGCTACGAAAGTGCCTCTTCATACCCTTGTCGGCCGTTTCAAGAGCTGAGGTTTCCGAGCCACATTGGCTTTCTGAATGCGTGGCGCGATCCTTTGAGCCTCCACTTTGCAGGGTTGCCGCCGCCAATCCTCATGAGACCCCTGCATTAGCCTCAACGATAGCCTTCCGTAGCAACTGCTCCTTGACCGCTCTCCCGAATTCCCCGATTTCCTTGTGTTCTGATTCCAAAGTTGTCGGGCACATCCTTTGACTAAGCTTATGCAAAGGAGTGAGGGTCAATTTGATGCTTCCCGGAATTGAACGTTAAAACTTGGAGTTCCTGAGTTGTGCTTCTCTTTCTCCGGCCCCTGGTCGGTGTCTGTGGGGGTCTTCTCGAAGCAGGGGCTGGCCTGATTATTGTAAACTGACTTTAATTTATGGGGGTACCTTGAAAATCGTGGAGAAGTGACATCCTTTCTCGCTGAGCTGTGTCCTTCTTCGTAGGTTGCGTCCCAACACCACATCGCTCGGGAGCACCCATCTCCCTGGGAGACGTTGTGCTTAGTAAGCCAAGGTGTTCAAGAGAACTCAGCACAAGCTTAGGAGTTGCGTGCATGCGTAACAGGCTTCCCTGGTGCATCGCTATCTACGGTCGTTTCCAGTCTACACAGTTCCTGCTGTTCGCACTGTCAAGACACAGGGTATCTGCGTCCCGCCATCCGACCGTGGGATAAGTGCATACCGTGAGATAGGATAAGTTTAAAAAAAATTAAATTTTAATATAAAGTGTATATTTATATACTTATCCTATCTCACGCTACGGATTCCTGCCCATCCTCCCCGCTATGCAGATTCTCCAAGATGGATATTATCCAGTGGCTCCAAGAATGGGAATGATGATTCAGAGATAGTCACGTGGGCAGCTAGTGGTGCTTGCCGCATGCTTTGCATGAGAGCTAGGAAGCTGTCTTATAATGAGGGTAACATGGAGTGCTTGGGCGGATGGACAAGAGAGGCCTAGGGAAAAAAGTTTACATCGTTCCACTCAGTGTTGAATCAAGAGAGAGAAGTGCATACCATGAGATACCGTGAGATAGGATAAGTATGTAAATATACAATTTATATTAAAATTTTCAAACATGATTAAAATTATAAGGGTACATCGCAAATCAAAAGTGCAATATTTTGTACTTGAGTTTACTTCCCTCGAAACGAATCACCTGGGATACCGAATCCAGTCAGAGCAGGTGGGTGTGCACTCAAGTGTAACGAAGACTTTCATTGTGTCATTGGCTGGTTCATTTGCCAATGCCCTCACGACTCATTGTGTGTGTGTATATAGAGATGTTGGGTTTTGTAAATACATGCTCATTTTTTGTGTATAACATTTTGCAATCAACAGACATCATAACATGTCATGTGTACAAGTATCACACCTGCCTGTCTGTGTAATTACATAATGTGACTGAGACCCGGTTGCACGAGCCATAAATCAATGCGGTTTTTTAATGGTGTATAGCCTGATAGGTGTTAAGTTCAAATTGCATGTGGTCAGTGATCGAAGTTGTGTATTGCATATTGTCATTAGCAGACAGGCAGGCAGACACATAGGTGTCAATAAAACAGACACTGAGTTTTGTCGGTGACAAAGACATAACTATATCACAGTTAGAAATTCTGTCAATGCTAAATAATGACATTGCTTTTAAGTATCGAACTGAGAAAGTAACTCGGTAAGAAGAACGTGTGGTGACATAGACAAATGAAATAATATAAACAGTGAAATCGGTAATCTACTGTCGTAACATATAAAAAACTCGGGCCTGTGAAATATCAACAAAACATTAGAAAAATAGCTCACATCAAAGCTTTCACCGAGTACTCACTGCAAGCGAAGGTTTTCCGTCTTGAAATGTCGAACGCCTCACTGGTTAACGCATAGCTGAGTAGATCTAGATCTTAACAAGGTTCTTTTATGAAATGAGTAGATTATTTACTATTTGTTTTGATTAGACTACTCCTGCTCACGACCTTATAATCCGGACATCAACCTTCCAAGCTGCGCGAACCTACTAGTATTCACTGCGCATGTGCTATGACTATGAGAGCAGCGCAGCTGTTGAAACCACTTTTCAGCCCAAGCTGGGGTGAATTTAGTGAATCGTTTGAACTCCGATTTCGCTGGGGGTTTTTCATCACGTTATTTTTCAACTTTATAAGTTGAATTTGCATTTTTGATGATTTGTATCTGTAAGTCCATAGCGAAAGGTATCAGAGTTGTGTTTTATGTTGCATGTGACCTTTCAGTAAAGCCTCTTAGAGATGGTGTCTTTGTATGTCATTAATGTTATGAACATTTTGGACTGTGAAATTATGTTATTTTTTGCAGACATCAACAGAAATTAGTTGATATGAAACACAAGCTGAAAGAGGCAGAGGAGGTAGGATACTTTGGCTTTGTTCGGCACAATCAAGATTCATTATGTAGTCATGGAAACAATTTGTTCAGTTACAACATGACTGTGAATGCTTCTAGTTGAACATCCTGTGTGATTTCTGTGATCCTGTGTGGTGGTGGTGGTGGAATTGGGTTTAACGTCGTGCTTGAGAATATTTCGCTCATATGACGACGTGCATGCGTGTGTATGTGTATGTGCGGCTGCTTGTACTAGCCCAGATTGAAGCTGGTTTTATAGTGCTAGCCCACTGAGATACAATGCCGCAGTGAAGCATGAATACCCCACTCAGACACATTATACTGACTCCGAGCCGACCAGTCCTTGTTGTACCTATTAATGCCGAGCGCCAGGCAGCTACCAACAAGTACCATATTTTAACCTCTTTTGGTATGACGCGGTCGGGGATCGAACCCGCGACCTTCCGCACTCCGGGCGGACGCTCTAACCACTACACCACGGCGGCGGTCTGTGATCCTGTGTGATTATGTTACCAAATGACATTAAAAGATTGTTGTTACTCAATTTGGCATTCAGCATTAAGGTGTTGAGACTAAGTTGGGTGAGCTTGAATATAATATGCTGTCCATTTTGCTGGATTTTGTCCATTTTTTGGTAAAGAAGAGGTTGATTTTGTCCGGGGTGGCAATTTTGGGGTGTATTTTGTCCGGGTGGATTTTTTCCGGTCACCCTGAATTTAGTAGCCTCAGTGGACTAGCTCTATAAGACCTGATTCTGCACACTGACACATGCTTCTGTTATACATGTTGGACGTTGCTATGTAAGTGCAATAATCTTGTACATTTCAATTCACCTCCATTAGAACTATGACAATGTGCAGAGTTAGGAAAAAGTTGATAAATGCTAAAATATTGTTAACATTTTTATGTCTGGTCATGTTCTGGTCATAGCTGACCATGTCCGAGATGAATATGATGCCACAATTTGCTGTGCATGATCATGATCCAGAGACATATGATCATGGGTTTAAATACCACATCCACATAGGGACAATGTGTGAGGCCCATTCCTGGTGTCCCCTGCTGTGATATTGCTGGAGTCTTCCTAAGAGTGGCATAAAAGTTAAAACCCAACTCACTGACTCAAATGCCAAATTCACCCAAACTATGCTTGACTGCACCATGATTGCGTTGGTGGGTTAAGCCTATGTGGTAAGCATCAGAGATCTGCATCACTTTGGGTGTTCATCCTACATTAAGTTGACATTCCATGAGGATGTCTTTTCTTGAATTTGCCAGCTACTGGCGATTCCTTGACTTGACCTCTCTGCATCCTGACAGAATACTCAGCATGCTTAGGTGCTTCAGAAGATGGAGATTTGACTGGTTTTGATTGTGGCGTTTTAGCCAGCAAGGAGCTTGTTCACTTCTTTTAGTAAACATTGCTTTTCACAACCCTTTGGAGCTACCCGAAAGGAAAGACCTTCCAGCAAATGCACACTCTTATTGTCTACATTCAAGTCGTCTGAAGTGTTGTCTCTACACATGGGGCATCTTCATGAATCTTTAAGAGCCAAGGGCCACACAGGAAGAGTGGCACATGCTTTCAAAGCTGCTCATAAAACAACTCACACAAGCATAAAAGATACATGTACTATGTTGTGGTTTCACTCAGCATGAAGAACATTTAACAGGAGTGCAATATGTGAGATCAAAAAAGTCTCTACAGTATGAAGTACATCAGAAATTCATAGCTCTGTACAATGCTGTGTGTTCAATTTTTACTTCAGCAAGCATCAGCTGATATGGGGAAGTTGAAGATAGAAGTGTCGGAGTTGGAGAAGCAAGAAAAAGACTTTAAGAAGAAAGAAGAAGACCTCTTGAAAGAAGAAAGGGTAGGATGAAATGCTTGGATATAGGGTGTGAGTTGGGACAGATGTAGACTGTGTGATGGGACGGATGTAGACTGTGTGATGGGACAGATGTAGACTGTGAGATGGGACAGATGTAGACTGTGAGATGGGACGGATGTAGACTGTGAGATGGGACAGATGTAGGCTGTGAGATGGGACGGATGTAGACTGTGAGATGGGACAGATGTAGACTGTGTGATGGGACAGATGTAGGCTGTGAGATGGGACAGATGTAGACTGTGAGATGGGACAGATGTAGACTGTGAGATGGGACAGATGTAGTGTGAGATGGGACAGATGTGAGAGATGGGATGGATGTGGGACAGATGTAGATTGGGGACAGATGTAGGCTGTGAGATGGGACAGATGTAGACTGTGAGATGTGACAGATGTAGACTGTGTGATGGGACAGATGTAGACTGTGAGATGGGACAGATGTAGACTGTGAGATGGGACAGATGTAGACTGTGAGATGGGACAGATGTAGACTGTGAGATGGGACAGATGTAGACTGTGATGGGACAGATTTGGCTGTGAGATTGGACAGATGTAGACTGTGAGATGGGACAGATGTAGACTGTGAGATGGGACAGATGTAGACTGTGAGATGGGACAGATGTAGACTGTGAGATGGGACAGATGTAGACTGTGAGATGGGACAGATGTAGACTGTGAGATGGGACAGATGTAGGCTGTGAGATGGGACAGATGTAGACTGTGAGATGGGACAGATGTAGATCAGTGAGATGGGACAGATGTAGACTGTGAGATGGGACAGATGTGAGATGGGACAGATGTAGACTGTGAGATGGACAGATGTAGAGATGTGAGATGGGACAGATGTGGCTGTGAGATGGGACGGATGTAGACTGTGAGATTGGACAGATGTAGGCTGTGAGATGGGACAGATGTAGACTGTGAGATGGGACAGATGTAGACTGTGAGATGTAGGAGCTGTGATGTAGGACAGTGTGATGGGACAGATGTAGACTGTGAGATGTGTTGGATTGGGACAGATGTAGACTGTGAGATGGGACAGATGTAGACTGTGAGATGGGGACAGATGTAGACTGTGAGATGGGACAGATGTAGACTGTGAGATGGGACAGATGTAGACTGTGAGATGGGACAGATGTAGACTGTGAGACAGATGGGACAGATGTAGACTGTGTGATGGGACAGATGCTGAGATAGGACAGATGAGATGTGGATAGGACAGATGTAGACTGATGGGACAGATGATGTAGACTGTGAGATTGGACAGATGTAGACTGTGAGATGGGACAGATGTAGACTGTGAGATGGGACAGATGTAGACTGTGAGATGGGATGTAGACTGTGAGAGATGTGTAGACTGTGAGATGATTGGACAGATGTGAGATTGTGTAGATTGGACAGATGTAGACTGTGAGATGGGACAGATGTAGACTGTGAGATGGGACAGATGTAGACTGTGAGATGACAGATGGATGTGAGATGGGACAGACTGTGAGACAGATGTAGACTGTGAGATGGGACAGATGTAGACTGTGAGATGGGACAGATGTAGACTGTGAGATGGGGATGGGACAGATGTAGGCTGTGAGGATGGGACAGATGTAGACTGTGAGATGGGACAGATGTAGACTGTGAGATGGGACAGATGTAGAAGCTGTGAGATTGGACAGGATGTAGATGTGAGGGACAGATGTAGACTGTGAGATGGGACAGATGTAGACTGTGAGTTGGGACAGATGTTGGCTGTGAGATGGGACATATGTAGGCTGTGTGTTTGGACAGATGTAGGCTGTGTGTTGGGACAGATGTAGACTGTGAGATTGGACATGTAGGCTGTGTGTTGGGACAGATGTAGGCTGTGTGATGGGACAGATGTAGGCTGTGTGTTGGGACAGATGTAGGCTGTGTGTTCGGACAGATGTAGGCTGTGTGTTCGGACAGATGGGACAGATGTAGGCTGTGTGTTGGGACAGATGTAGGCTTTGAGATGGGACAGATGTAGGCTGTGAGATAAGTCAAATGTAGATGGGACAGTTTTGTCTGAGTGTGACTTTGTGTTTTGTTTCATTCTATTTTCACATGAAGTTTGATGTTTTTCATTCTTCGTTTCAGCTAACTCCCCTCAACATCGACACAATATGCCATGATGGAATGTCCAAAACCGTAAGTACATTGCACACCTTTCACCAACATCTTTTCTGCTGTGTGTCAAATACAATGATATATGTTTTGTGAGGCAAGTGATGTAACTGATATATCATGATACGATGTTGCCCTCTGCAGGTGATCAACAAACCCAAACCACCTCCAGCTGCACTCTCTGATGAAGAGAAAGCCAAGAAACAGGTAGGTCAATGGAACTTGGGCTTAGAGTAATTCAGAATATTTCTACTAAAACTTTGCTGAATAATATGTTCAGATTTGTCAGTTAGTGATATCCTATCTCTTTTACTATCACTGGTTGAAACTGATATAATCTGACAACTGCATTAACTAAAAAGATATTTCTAAGTCATTGTCAGTGGTTATTAATGAATGACAATTACAGGTTATAAAATGCAGAATTTTGGTAGGAACAGTATTTCATAGTATGGCAAAACATTTTATTCAGGGAACTAATTTGAAATTGACTGAGAGAGTAATTTTCAAATATGGGGATTTCATAAAATGTTTACTATTTTTTAGCTGACATATTTTTGTGTCACAATGAGCTGTTCTATGTTGTACTGCTACTTTTTCAGGTTATTCAGGTCTTAGCAATGCATGTAAAACACATTCTGATTCTCTCAGATATCAGGATGCTAGACATACTGAATACAGCTTTGAGAAGTGTATTACCAGTCCAACCATTTAATGCCATTGTATTACTTCCTTCTAGTTTCAATCATGCTTTTGGATACAAACTCTGAATTGTTGATGACTGATTTCTGAAGGATTCCAAAGTAAGCGTGCTTGGGAGGCAATTAAGGAAAAATATTATTGAGCCTATGGTACTTGGTGAAATTTAGCTCACCTGTACAAAGCCATAACTTTAGTTATCACTATATACATGATATATTTGGCAATTTGTTAATTCCAAGAAAGGTAAGATACTTTAGTAATGACAACTTCTTTATTACATTGTCATAAAGTATCTTACCTTTCTTGTTACTCATCAGCTTCCAAAATGCCAATCAAACATTTTCTAATTCCAAATGGCATTTGTCTTTGAATTTTGGTCACATTTCTGAGTCAATCTATATAAATCCATAACATATTATGTGGACATAGGTAGTGTTAATGTATGGTAGTAAGTGCAAACAGTGGCTTGTTATGTCATGAGGTGATATCTGTTACTGCTTCAAGAAAGCATTCTCCAGCAAATACAAAGACAAGATCAAGAAGTATGGGTTGCTGAAACGCTATGAGGACAGCCAGGAGTTCCTGACTGAAACACCAGAACTTGTCTGTGACGAGACTGCCAACTACCTGGTGCTGTGGTGTGTGGACCTCGAAATCGAAGAGGTCAGTAATCTCTACGTTGTGACATGGCAGAGATCATACATCATGAAGAAAGTTATAGTATTTTAATGCTCACTTTTAGTCTGTTGTCTGAAATATCCTTACAATTTTAATCTTTTTGTTGTCTGAAAAATCCTTATTCATTTGTGTTCCAGAAACATGAGCTAATGTCCCATATAGCTCACCAGGTGATTGTCATGCAGTTTATCCTAGAGCTGGCCAGGTCCCTGGAATGTGACCCACGCAGCTGTGTCCGGGCCTTCTTCTCCAGGTAGGTCAGGGTCAGTGATCACGAATGATCACACAGGGTCGGGTTCAGTGTCATGTACAGTTTGTGTTAGCATGATCATTTTTGTGTCACAGAGGGTTAGAGTCATGCATTGTCATGGTCAGTGTCATGCACAGTCAGTGTCAATATCCCTTACAGCTTGTGTTCGTGTCAGGCATGGTCACAGTCAGTGTCAATATCCCTTACAGCTTGTGTTCGTGTCAGGCATGGTCATGGTCAGTGTCAATATCCCTTACAGCTTATGTTGGTGTCAGACACATTCAATTTCAGTGTCATGCACAGACAGTGTCAATATCACTTACAGTTTGCAGGGCTCTAGATAATTTTTCAACATCAGGAGTACGTACTCCTTATTTTTTCAATATAGGAGTACTAGAAAAGCTTAAGAGTACATTTAGAGTACTGAATGGAATTTAATGGAGTGTGACTACGACAAGACGAACGTGTGATACTAGAAAGCAGTTCGTTCATTATTCATAGAGCAATTTGATTACTTGACTGTTTACAACTCATCGAGGCACATTCTTGTTTCTGATAGAACCTTGTAATTTGTTTCTGTGCCGCCATGTTTACATACTCATGCGCAATATTTACCAATCAAATTTAACCGAGATGATTCGCTGCGGTACATGGTTTCCTTAGCAACTGAGATTCCCAAAACACGACAAGGGGAACTCCAGTGTGTTGCAGTCACTAAAATTCAAAGATGGTACACTTGATGAAATCAGACTGATATGTTTTAGATATACGTCTGTAAATGATTCTACACCATCGATGTGGTGCGTATCTCCTACGTGTTCTAAATTATTTCCCACCGTATTGTGCATAATTTTTAACCGTACTTACGCCAATACGGCCCTTATCTGGAGCCCTGAGCTTGTATCTGTGTCAGGCATAGTCAGTGTCAATAGTGCATGGTCATGGTCAGTGTCATGCACAGTCAGTGTCAATATCACTTACATCTTGTGTCTGTACCATGCATGGTCATTTCAGTGTCATGCTCAGTCAGCTTCAGTGTTTATGGTCCTTCTGGTCTTAATGTCACCTTTGCTGTTATGAGGTCAATGTGACTGTTACTGTCATGGTCTAAGGTCAATGTGACTGTTACTGTCAAGGTCCAAGGTCAATGTGACTGTTACTGTCAAGGTCAATGTCACTCTTACTGTCATCCAAGGTCAATGTTACTGTCACTGTCAAGGTCAATGTCACTGTTACTGTCATGGTCCAAGGTCAATGTGACTGTCATGGTCCAAGGTCAATGTCACTGTTACTGTCATGGTCCAAGGTCAATGTCACTGTTACTGTCATGGTCCAAGGTCAATGTGACTGTTACTGTCATGGTCCAAGGTCAATGTCACTGTTACTGTCATGGTCCAAGGTCAATGTCACTGTTACTGTCATGGTCCAAGGTCAATGTCACTGTTACTGTCATGGTCTAAGGTCAATGTCACTGTTACTGTCATGGTCTAAGGTCAATGTCACTGTTACTGTCATGGTCTAAGGTCAATGTCACTGTTACTGTCATGGTCTAAGGTCAATGTGACTGTTACTGTCATGGTCTAAGGTCAATGTCACTGTTACTGTCACTGTTACTGTCATGGTCTAAGGTCAATGTCACTGTTACTGTCATGGTCTAAGGTCAATGTGACTGTTACTGTCATGGTCTAAGGTCAATGTCACTGTTACTGTCAAGGTCCAAGGTCAATGTGACTGTTACTGTCATGGTCTAAGGTCAATGTGACTGTTACTGTCAAGGTCCAAGGCCAATGTGACTGTAACTGTCATGGTCTAAGGTCAATGTCACTGTTACTGTCATGGTCTAAGGTCAATGTGACTGTTACTGTCAAGGTCAAGGTCACTGTTACTGTCAAGGTCACTGTTACTGTCATAGTCCAAGGTCAATGTCACTGTTACTGTCATGGTCCAAGGTCAATGTCAATGTTACTGTCAAGGTCAATGTCACTGTCACTGTTACTGTCAAGGTCCAAGGTCAATGTCACTGTCATGGTCCAAGGTCAATGTCACTGTTACTGTCATGGTCCAAGGTCAATGTCACTGTTACTGTCATGGTCCAAGGTCAATGAAAATGCCACAATGGAGGATTGTTTACACCTTCCTCTCTAACAATGATTACTTTCTGTATCAGCTGTAATTGCCATACAAGGGAAAAGACAGTGATGTGTTACTGTAGGTTTAAGAAATGTTGACATTCACATCATACTGACTGTTGGTATGGTGTTTTAGGATCAAGCTAGGAGAGAAGCAGTACATGGATGCTTTCAACGATGAGCTGTCAGCCTTTAAGGGTCGTGTGGTGTCAAGGGCGAGGACTCGGGTAGAGGAAGCCATGAAGGAGTATGAGGAGGTAAGATCACTCACTTGATAGATTCCAGAATGGCATAAGTCTGTAAATAATCGATTATGGACAAGCCAATCCACGGGAAATTCAACCCAAATCTCTACATCAGTGCCATTTCACAAGAGAAAGTTTGCTAATGTCACATAAATTTGACCATGTGTAATCTGAAATAGCAAGGAGAACAGGATTGAGATCAGTTTCCAGGCTTTTTTGATTTGGGTTTAATTTCCGCTGGACAATAACTATGTGCCTCACATATACTGTTCAAGTAACAGAATCAGTAGTCAGAAGGGACAAGACATGTTCAGTTTGGCATATATTGTAGTCTCCATTAATTGACAAAGCTACACATGTTTTTCAGGAGGAGCGACAGAAACGCCTGGGACCAGCTGGACTTGACCCACTGGAAGTGCTGGAGACTCTGCCTGAGGTCTGTACACCTGCCTGTACAACTGTATCCATTTCTTCCAACTGCTACATCTCCTCACTCACAACCACACACTTACTCATACACACACAGCCCTTCTCTCAAACACAAGGATCTCCTTTCATGCATGCATCCACTCTCACGCACACATTCCTTGTCTCAAACACAAGGATCTTCTTTCATACATTCATCCCCTCTTACACACACAACCGTTCTCTCACACACAATGATCTCCTTTCATACATTCATCCCCTCTTACACACACAACCGTTCTCTCACACACAAGGATCTCCTTTCATACATTCATCCCCTCTTACACACACAACCGTTCTCTCACACACAAGGATCTCCTTTCACACATGCATCCACTCTCATGCACACATCCCTACTCTCACACACAAGGATCTCCTTTCACACATGCATCCACTCTCATGCACACAGCTACTCTCACACAAGGATCTCCTTTCACACATGCATCCACTCTCATGCACACATTCCTTCTCTCAAACACAAGGATCTCCTTTCACACATGCATCCACTCTCACACACAAGCACACAACCCACTCGTGCACACAACCGTTCTCTCACACACAAGGATCTCCTTTCACACATGCATCCACTCTCATGCACACATTCCTTCTCTCAAACACAAGGATCTCCTTTCACACATGCATCCACTCTCATGCACACAACCGTTCTCTCACACACAAGGATCTCCTTTCACACATGCATCCACTCTCATGCACACATCCCTACTCTCACACACAAGGATCTCCTTTCACACATGCATCCACTCTCATGCACACATCCCTTCTCTCAAACACAAGGCTCTCCTTTTAGGCAAAAGTTTTCCCTCTTTCACACATGCATTGCCTCCACAAACACACCTTCCACTCACACATATATCCCCTCTCAAACACACTCATCCCCTTAACCGCATGCTGTTTGTTTGATGTTAATAGGATGGTTTGTTTGGACATGCTTTCAGTTTTCTTTTCTTTCTTTCTTTCAGAGTTTGAAGAAATGTTTTGAATCAAAAGACATTGAATTGTTAAAGAAAACGATTCTTGAGCTCTCCAAAGAAGATGCAGAGTACCACATGAAGCGATGTGTTGACTCTGGACTGTGGGTGCCCAATGCAGCAGACTTGCCAGAGGGCCAGAACACAGCAAATGCAGCTGAAGGCCAGAACGGAACATCAGTGGAAGAGGAAGAAGAGGAATACTATGACACAGTTGACTGAGAGGGAGATGTAACGTCTTGTTTTATAAAAGCGCTGTCAATACAAGTCTTGTCAATGTATCCGTATTGTTCTTACATGAGACATGGGTTCGGGTGTTGTATTAGGCAGAACATGAGACTATTTCTACACTCTCATTGTTGTATAAAACACCAGAGAACATTGGCTGTGTTCCACTTGTTGTGCAGAACACGAGATCACATTGGCTGTTCTCATTGTTGTGCAGAACATTGGCTGTTCTCATTGTTGTGCTGAACATGAACCTCAGTTGTGTAATTTTGTTTCATCAGAACAGCTGGGTGTATACTGTATGTACTGAATGTATGAAATAGTCAGATAGTGTACAATACACTGCAGTCATGGCTTCAGTTATACAGATTGTTTACGTGTTAAACAAATACAGACAATAGAATTCACCAAACATTCACCTCATGAATTATTTATATTTTTCCTTATCCTGACTCATGCTTATTTGCTTTCTCATCCTCTCTTCCGAACGGTCAAGTGGAAACTTGAATCCCTTCAATTCCCTTGAAGCGAACGTACTATCACTCACCCTGAATTACCTCCCTTTTCCCGCCAAAACTGGCACGTGACCTGCCATGCCTTGCTCCTCACTCTCTCCGATATAAGCCCAAGTGGACGGACTACTTCAGCACCAGGCGCCCCAACATCTGTTGAAGGCTCAAATTTTCAATCACATGTGAACAATTTTATAAGTCAGATATTTCACAATTCAACAGATATATGAAGTCATAAATTCAATATATACACATGATTATACACAAAAATCAAACATCAAGACATATTCAACCCGTAAACCAGCCAAGAAGAACACCCAGGGTGTAAATCAAGCGTTGAGACATGATGGACTGTTGTTTACATTGAAAACATGTGAACAAACAGTCACCTGGAACGAAGTGAAATTGTGAATTAATTTGACAAACAATGTACAAATTTTGTTATAAATATGATAAACAACATATTTAGAAACACAATCACGGCAGAATTTGTGCTATATATCCAAATTATTTGAAGTTATAAGCCGCAAAGGGACCCTAAAGTGACCGCCAACCGTGGGCGATTGAGGAGAGAGTGAGGAGCAAGGCATGGCAGGTCACGTGCCAGTTTTGGCAGGAAAAGAGAGGTAATTCAAGGTGAGTGATTGTACGTTCGCTTCAAGGGAATTGAAGGGCTTCAAGTTTCCACTTGACCGTTCAAAAGAGAGGATGAGAAAGCAAATAAGCATGACTCAGGATAAGTATAAAATATCAATTTTATCATAAATATTACATTTACAGAGAAGGTTTTGATACAATCTCCAATATAAGATTAGCTCGTCACGCGAAGGAAGACCGGTTCAATTCCCCACATGGGTACGTGTGAGGCCCATTTATGGTGTCCCCCACCAGGATGTTGCTGGAATATTGCTAAAAGCGGCGTAAAAGCAAACTCACTCACTCACTCCAATATAAGATTTCAAGAGGGTCATAAAGGAATCAGTCAATGCTCAAAGTAAATGATTATCCTTACCACGTGGCACATTCCTTTGGATAGAGGGGTGGTGGGGTAGCCTAGTGGTTACAGTGTTGGCTCGTCACGCAGGGTTTGATTCCCCACATGGGTACAATGGGTGAAGCCCATTTCTGGTGTCCCCCGCCGTGATATTGCTGGAATATTGCATAAAACTGCATAAAACTAAACTCACTCACTCCTTTGGCTAGAGGACATTGATTCAACTATTAAAGATCTTTTGTTATACCTGGCAGCTTGTCATTATTTTAGTAAGAGTATCTCAAATGTGAACACATCCTATGCTTCTGATGGATTTCCTTGTTGCTTTGGGTTAACAGTAGTGTGCTGCTGCTGCTGCTGCTGTTGCCACTAGTCCACTGGTTTCAGGGTGAGTGGGTTTCTCCAGCTTGGTTGGTTCTCTGCCTGAGAGGATTTTGCCATGTCTTTGGTTTCCCTGTCTGAATAGGTTTCCCAGTGTGTATCAACTGTAGGGTTTTCACAGCTTTGTGGGTAACTTTGTCTGCATGGATTTCCTGATCTGATTGCCTAGGGGTGTTTTCTCAACAAAGTGGGATTCCTTGTGTGCCTTTGTTGCTATTCCAGTAGTTTGTTCTCACCTGGTTGGACAAAGTATCCATGGTATTTGGTAGCAGTCACATTATTTAAGTGTGTGTATTGTTTAGTTAACTGTTGTTATATTGTATTTTCCAGTTGTGAAACAATGAAAGCATGGTGGCCATTTTTGGTAGTCAGACTATGTTTGTGTGAAAACTGTTTGGGTCATTGTCCTAAATATCACATTCAGCATCTTTTGCTGTTGATGCAGGTGGCCCTCTGTGGACTGTCATTGGCTTAACTGGGCAAACACAAATTTTACTCAACTTGACCAGTGGCTAGAGTTACTCCTACTTGCTACCATTGCACAGAGCAGCCTTAGTGCTATGATTATCGCAAGTTTGATTTAGTTATGATTATCATAGCCCTACAGTCACCTTGCAGAATGAAGACATGATGTGTTTTTGTATGGATAATTGTGGTTTTACTGTATTTTTCCCTGTTCATATTCATATGTTAATGAATTCATTTTAGTTGAGATGTTCATATTGTTTGCTTTAAAGTACATGTACTTGAAACACTTTAAGAATGCAATGTCAATTTCACCTGTATCAATTTCACCTGTAAAGTACATGTACTTGAAACTTGAATGCAATGTCAATTTGACCTGTATGTGCTTGTAGTTTTGTGTTTGTGTAACATAAATTGTACATAGTAAGTTGTAAGTTCCCAAGAATCTTCCCAATATAAAAATTATTAAAATGTTTTGTGAAACTGTATCAAAGATGGACTGAATGCTGAATATTACTTGTGCTTAAATATCGGATGGTCACATTACATTTCTGTTTCAGTATCTTTTTATGTTGATTTGTGAGAACCTTCAAAACAAAGAAACTGATTCAATAAATATACCATCCTGGTGTATGAGGATTAAATTCTTTGATGATTCTGGAGTTCATCTAATGCTTACGAAAACTTGCATATCTAAATCTATTCTCTCTTTTTTGTATTTATATGAAATAAATTATGTCCAATAAATGTTCTTGCTTCACCTCTGCAAAAGGTCTCAAATACATCATGTAAATGTACACAGACCTACTTCTGAGTGATGAGTGAAATTCTGCAGTGGTATCCCTGTAGGGGGGTGCTGGGGTAGCCTAGTGGTTAAAGCGTTCACTCGTCACGCCAGAGTCCCGAGTTCGATTCCCCTCATGGGTACAATGTGTGAAGCCCATTTCTTCTGTCCATTGCTGTGATATTTCTGGAATATTGCTCAAAGCTGCGTAAAACTATACTCAGTCACTCCTAACTGCAGATGTCAGTGATGTGTAAATAATCAAATCTGGACCAGATAATCTTGATATCATGACAATCTATCCAACAGCTTGGTCAAAAAGGCATGCAATCAATGAAGCCATTGAGCCTGACCACCCACTCCATTTTTGTTTTCTTCTTTCCAAGCACATAGTTTGCTGAGGACCTGAAATGCCCATGAGGTATGTTAAAATGTGTGTTGTTGACTAGGGCTGGATATTGGCCTGATTCTCATATTGCGATATATTGCAATAATTTAAGAGATATTGCAATACATATTGTGATATATTGACTTGAAGGTTTCTGTCCAAGTGCGTACATCATAAATTCATAATATCTTTCTGTGTGCGACATCATCTTCTGAGTTGCTGTTACACCATACTTTCAGGCTCCCCCGTTCTCATTGTGCATGGCTGTATGCCAATGGTTTACAGATAAATAAAATGATATAGAGCGTTAATGTAGAATGTTTAATTGAAGTACGGTATTGCAACAAAGTTTTGTGAACATAATGATAAAAGTGACAGTATAACATGATTTTCATGATCAGTGTTGTTTGCTTCAACAGAATGCACTTCAATGCAGTATGTAATCATTGTTACTGTATGTCAGCCATTCATTCAGATTCAACTCCAATATAAACTTGTGTTAATTGAAACTATTGCAAAATGAAACAAAAACATGATTTAGGTGAACTACTTGAGCTTAAAACCTCATGTGATCTCCAATAACTAAGATCCTTGACAAGAATGTCATTATACAGTCTTACAAAACATATACGATTTTGGCCTTTTTGATAAATTGATAACATATGTCCCATTATAAAACAAACAAAATAGTCACTCAGACCAGACACTCTACTAATAAATCCAAATAAAAGATTGGTCAAATCTTGAGGGGCATTTAGAAGTTGAATGCATTGGAAAAGCAAGATTTATGGATGTCAACTTCTTTATTGTGAATAACACGACGTTTCAGAGTGTATACTTGTTCCTTCCTGACCTGATGAAGGAGTGAAAGATACATCGTGTTATTCACAACAACAAGCTGGCATCCTTAAATCTTCCTTAAAGATTGGTCCATTGAGGCCACTTCATCACCCAAAGCATTTGGTAGAATATTGGGAACATTTGGAGCCACTTATAAAGACACTTCCACTTGTAAAATGTGACATGAAACCAACGGAAATTAAAGTATATTTGGCACTTTTAGAGCACATTTTGTTGCTATGAAAATCAAGGGCAGATTATTCAAAGGGAACTAACTCTGAATGACCCAATATAGTGCAGAAGCTGAACCATATCGCCATAATCGTATCGTGATACTGTACCGGTATATAACCGGTTTACCGGTAATATTGCACAGCCCTATTGTTGACACTGTACACTATCAACCAAGTCACTGACCAGCAGATTGGTTTAGTCATCTGGTAGGACAAACAACAGAGTGCAGGGATCTGTCCTGAATAGGAATCATATTTAAGGTCTGGATCAAACAAAATATATCCCTGCTGAGAAAAAAATTAATATCTTATCAGAAGATACAAGGTATCATGCTTCAATTCATGCTGTATTGAACTGTGGCTTTGAGTTATTTCAAGGTTGAATTATATCCTCAAAACCACCTTATTGCCCTTCAAGATATAGGGATTCACCTCAAGGGGAATTGAGGTTACAATTTGTCCAAAGCAACCTATTCTACTGGTAAGAGGCAACTTAACGATTCACATTTTTGGTTATTAAAACGTGTTATTTATCTGTTCATGTAACTAATATTAAACTATGGTTTCCTGAAATTAATAATATTCAAAACACCTTAGTTTATATTTTGCTAAAACATGTTGCCTGGTCACTATCGAATATTCGATAAAAATGAAACACCAAAACAGGCTTATCAACATTATTTCATATTGATGCAAAGCCAGATGTTGTCATCAACCAATACTCATGTCGTATTGTATGCAGATCAATGATAACATGTGTTTGCAGAAAAAGGCGAAGGGAAAGGTTCTTACTAGACATGGATACAACTATACTAACGGAAAAAAGTAACTGTGCATAACACTGCATAAACAGTCATAAAGATAATCCCAAATAAACATGTATACTGTATCAGTTTATTGCATGAAGAGCCAGAGGCCCATATACAGAATAAATATGTATGATATGTACAACATATACAACATGCGACCACACGTTACATTGAATCTCTTCTCAATATAAGCCGTGATAAATAAATAGAGCTACCTTATATTGTAATAGGGATGCTTTACATGAAAGTATTGAATACAGTTTTGTAGCATTAATATTTGATTGTAGCCATTGCGGAAAATACAGTTGCCTTAAATCATTATATGCAGGACAAAGAAATAGAAAGTGTAATTCATTCTCTACAGTATTACAAAATGGACAGAACCTTTGTGATTTTATAATAGATAAATATCTTCCTTGATTGATATATAAATCATTTAGGCCAAGTCTCAGGCGCATGAAAACACTACGAAGCTTTTACTACGTAAGTTGTATAGATACGACTCAGGTTCAAGTAAAGATTTAAACTCACGATAGCAGTCATATCTTGAACTTTCATATAAAGATGAATGCCAGTCTTGTTTAAAGATATCAATAGCCCTGGTACGAAAGAGTTTGATAAATGCATTAACGTCGCCCAGGGTTTGGGATAGCCAAACAAATCCAAAGCCGTATCTAAGCACTTTGTATGAAATTTGATGTTATGTATCGCGCGTGGCACGTGTACTTTGTCCACAATAAACTTACTTTTTGCATCCAACCTGAAGTTCACACTATGATATTGAAAATTGAAGAACGATTGATTATTCTTTAGCCTCTGATTGTGGTGGAAAGCATTAATTTCAACCTCAGCTGCGCGTACGTCATGCTATGGTTTGCAGAAAATCAGCGTCTCCGTGCCTGGGTATGCTGGAGACTGGAATGGCTCAACATGAAGTGGTCCTACATTCACACTATGATATTGAAAATTGAAGAACGATTGATTATTCTTTAGCCTCTGATTGTGGTGGAAAGCATTAATTTCAACCTCAGCTGCGCGTACGTCATGCTATGGCTTGAAGAAAATCAGCGTCTCCGTGCCGTGGGTATGCTGGAGACTGGAATGGCTCAACATGAAGTGGTCATACAGTTTGGTGTCCATCGAAAAACGATGAGAACACGAGAGATCTGCCTCGGACCGGCCGTCCACGCGTCACGTCAAGACAACCACATTCGGCTGACCCATCTAAGGAATCGAATCCAGACAGACAGTGACTGCTTGGACCATTCCTCGCTTACTCCAATCAGTTCCAGGACTCTACGAAACCGACTGAGGGAGCACAACATCCGGTCTCGACGTCCTGCAATACGTCCAATTTTGCTCCAACGTTACCGAGGTACGTCTTGCCTGGTACAGGCAGCGTCAAACAAGACAGGAAACAAGATGGGGGTGGTGTTTTGACGAGTCGAGATTTCATCTGGACAGCTCAGACGGCATATCAAGGGTGTACAGGGTGAACGGTATGCTAAAGCGTGCGTTGTTCACCGTCGACAGTTTGGTGCCGTTAGTGTTATGGTATGAGGAGCCATCACATCTCATGATAGGACACAACTTGTCATTGTCAATGGCAGTCTGACAGGTCTGCGATACAGGGATGAGATCATTGGGCATCATGTGCAGCTGTTCATTCATGGACAGAGACGTAACTGCACGCTTCAGCAAGATAATGCCCGTTCACATGTCGCTCGTTTTGTGAAAGATTTCCTGAGACAACAGAAAAAGCCGTTACTCCCGGGCCAGCTGTTTCGCCGGACCTGTACTCTCTCGAGCACGTTTGGGATGGAATGAAGCGAAGTTAACGTCAAGCCCAGAATCTGCCATTGGTGTTAGTTTAATTTGGACAAGCGTTGGTTCAGACATGGAACAACATTTAATCGCACAGCGTCGTCTATGCGTTGTCGTCGTAAAGCCTGCATCAACGTCAATGGTGGACACGCAAGATTCTGACTTTTGACACCGCGTCTCTTCAAGGGCGTGTCACGATGCCTAGTGTCAAATCAAACAGATTTCGATATTACCTTGTCAACGGCTAAACAGTGATTAAGGAATCATGTTATATTTTTGTATTGAAAATGGCATAACATCAAATAATGCACAGTTACTTTATTCCAGTAGTATATATCTATCGTTGCTGATTTGTTGCTCCATCTCAGAAAAGGCAGGAATTTCAGACATGACATCATTGAAATCGCCTCTTTCTTAGTTTTACTACCCGTTAAGATCCGGGTTAGAATGCTTGTAAGAGGCGACGAACGGGATCGGGTGGTCAGGCTTCCTGACTTGGTTGACACATGTCATTGTATCGCAATTGCGTAGATCGATGCTCATCACTGCTGATTGTCTGGTCCAGACTCAATTATTTACAGACCGCCGCTGGAATATTGCTGAGTGCGGTGTAAAACTAAACTCGCTCACTTACTACCCACCCATTATCAAATTGTCCCATGGCCATTTGCACTGAACGATGTCAAAGTACCACGCACATTACCAGAGTATTGTCCATTGTACTGTCAGCATTAACTGAGCTAGCATATCAGCCCATGAATGATGCTTCCGACATTTTGGAGAGAAAACAGAACAGCTTTCCTCCTTAATATGTCCAGGGCGTAAGAGCAGTACACCTGTGATATTTCACTAATTACGCCGCACACACTCCACTGGAGTACATCTTTCAAATAACAACCAGAATTTATTGCCCCAAATCAGTGACGGTAATAGGGATTTTGGAGGTGTGAAATACTCAATGCCATTTTAGAAAGTGATCAAATGTAACATATGTTATATTTGGTGGTACTTAAATCTCAGGACCGCCTCCGTGGTGTAGTGGTTAGAGCGTCCGCCCGGAGTGCGGAAGGTCGCGGGTTCGATCCCCGACTGCGTCATACCAAAAGACGTTAACATATGGTACTTGTTGGTCCCTGCCTGGCGCTCGGTATTAATGGGTACAACAAGGACTGGTCGGCTCGTCGTCAGTATAATGTGTCTGAGTGGGGTATTCATGCTTCACCGCGGCATGGTATCACAGTGGGCTAGCACTATAAAACCAGCTTAAGTCTGGGCTAGTACAAGCAGCCGCACATACACATACACACGCATGCACGTTGTCATATGAGCGAAATATTCTCAAGCATGACGTTAAACCAAATTCCACCACCACTTAAATCTCAAGATAAGTTGGCGATCGGACCCTAATCTGCTGAGTGGTGCGATCACTGGCTAACACATGAGTCAGAGATATAATTTTAATTTCACTGCAGTATGATAAAGGTTAGACAGTTCTAAACGAAACATGTTTAGAATTCCTTAGGTTCAGAGATCGGATTATAGAGGGTAAACACATTGAACTGACATTGCTGGTTTGACCAACATCTCCAGAAGTCGGGAATCTCTTTCAACTTTTCCATCTGTCCACACTTCTTTAGCACTTTAGTGAGGCAGGGAGCTTCGCTGGTACACGCTGTCTCATGTAACGATCAAGATGATACCAGAGATGTTCAATGGGGTTCATGTCTTAAGAATTATACCCAGTTGTAACGTTTGCTTGAATTATAGTGTAACCCGCTTGGTATATGCGCAATAACCCACAACGTCGTGTATGATGATACAGAGCAAACAAAACTCTAACCAAAAGAACAAAACGTACTTGATTTATTTATCTTTCACATAGTCTTGAAAGAGAGGCTTTCAGGTTGTGTCCTGTCAGTGATGTCCTTATCCCACAGCTTCATTTATCCTACATAGCAACTGAAGGGAGAAACAGAAAATAGGATAAATCAACAACAGCAGGGTGTGTGCGTGTGTGCGTGTGTGTGTGTGTGTGCGCGCGTGCGTGTGTGCGTGTGTGTTTAAAAGTGTTCACTCGTCACGTCGAAGACCCTGTTTCGATTCCCCACATGGTTACAATGTGTTTAGCCCATTTCTGGTGATATTGCGGGAATATTGCTAAAATCGGCGTAAAACTAAACTCACTCACTCACTCCAAAAACATGCTTTTCACGTAATGGACACGGGTGCCTTTGTAGTCTTGGAGCCACAATTTGCTGTGTGATGTGTCCCTCTGCCGGGAAATGATGATCATGAGTTCTGACCATTCGTGACCAACTCGTGTTATTCCGGGACAAGCCGAATAGCGTTACGGAAAGGGGCGAGTGGTGACAATCTTTCACCCTTGATAAAACGGAGATATTGTTCAAAGGGTGTTGGGTTAACTCTTTTTTTACACTGTACTGTATAACTTTAGCGACCGTTCATAATTTATGGCTTGGAGGGATGACGATGATTTTAATTGATTTTGTACATGACATGCAGGGCAGGGTCACTAAAGTGGTTTTTTGTTTGTTTGTTTGTTTTGTTTGTTTTTTTTGTGTTTTTTTTTGGGGGTATATTTATGCTTACATGCTTCTCCACCTCCTCTCTCTCTCTCTCTCTCTCTCTCTCTCTCTCTCTCTCTCTCTCTCTCTCTCTCTCTCTCTCTCTCTCTCTCTCTCTCTCTCTCTCTCTCTCTCTCTCTCTCTCTCTCTCTCTCGCCATGAATTATGAACGGTCCATTAGAGTGTTTTGCCTACGAGATACAGAATAGGTACTTACAGTAGTGCAGGGTTTTGCTGAAAGATACAAATGACGAAAGACGAAAGTTTAGTTGCCCCGTATAACTCCTAAAGGATATATTCATTAAATAAGTGCGGCGTTAAGCAACAATCAATCAATAAATTTCAGTAAATAATGATATAGTCGTCTCTCCTTGAAACCATAAATCAACTACCGCAGGAGAAACATTCCCAGTCCTAACTTGGATCCTTATGCGGTATGTTGTAGTTTCTGTGTTGAAAGTCAGAGAAGCCATTTCGGGGATAGGGGGGACATTTGATGTTCATGATTATTGATATATGCCAAGAGCTGATAGTCGTGAGTTCGAATCTCAGATAAGCCACGTTCCGAGTACGCTCTACACAAACCACCATGCCTAATATCATGTACCCTGACAAGCCTTTATAAAACTGGAATGCATGCAGTGGCGTAATTATAAACTCCATCAATCGCTCATAACATTTGAAACATAACGTACATGTCCTGCAGGTGCACGTCTTGCAGCCTCGACTGTCTGGCTGGAAGCCGTAGTTACACGTGAGAGAACCGCAGTCGATCGGATCGCAGTGGACTGGAAATGACAAGAAAGGTGTTTTTATTCACTTCTTACAAGCGTACATAACACAAGCCAAATAAAGGCTTGTGGTGACTTAACATATGTTATATTTTGTGGACGTCGTGGTGGTTGAGTGGGTAAGATCGCTGCCTTTGAGTGCTGGAGATTAGGTGCCTGCCTCTGACCGTATGGGTTCAAATCCGGCTGAGATTAGAGTTTGTACTTCAGTGAGAAAGCGTACGTAACCCCAAATATAACACAAGAACCTACCTATCTGGACAAATACACCACCCATCTCAACGCATGAACCTATTAGAGTAAAAAGTACTAGAGTCTGAACACAAGCCCCACCCATTTGCAACACATGCACATACTGTCTGGAAGTACAATGTATCTGAACACATTTACCTACCAATTGTCACACAACGGTCGCCGCATATGTGAGGACAACACCTCTGCCCTGCCCCACAGGTCCCAGACCCTAAGCACCTGGGCATGTAGGCACACCCATATACCATTCCCGGGGGATCAGTTGGACACACATCTGGAATAAACAGTACTGATGAAACAGAAAGACACGAGATGGTTTGTGCTGTATCCCTAACAAGTTGAGAAACAGACGGACTATTATGACTGCTACAGGTGATCACTCACTGGTTTGCTTGGTGATGACTTTAATCAAGAGGGCAAAAACAAATTGCATATTGAGGTGAGAATATCATCATCCCAAGTAATGCAAGGTTATCACGTGAGCGTGGTGGGCGAACAGGCTAAAGCGCCAGGCTAGTGATCCAGCGATCTTGAGATCGAGCCCACCTGTGACCAGGTGTAAAAAGCTTGGAGTCAACTTTGTGTGCAGACTCTTTCAGTGTTGTCACAACCCCTAGAGGGGTGACGACTCAGGGAACACTTCTGCAATGGCACTAATGACGGCAGCTTCAAAATCAGTCTGGATTACTTCTGGCGATGGTACCGTACCGGTAACGGTCTCAGTGGTGTTCTTCAACAGAGTAAAAAGTCTCACATAAGTCTGTTTGGTTTTATTTGGCAGCAAAGTAAATGAAACAGGGTACATTTTCTCGTCCACCATACAATCAATGCACAATGTAAACCTGCGCCCACAAACTGGGACATGTGAAGAAAGTACCATCCATGTACAGGGTCACTGCCTCACTCAGAATATCTAGCATATCAGTTGTAGCAAATACGAGCAGCTTGTCGTCAACACCGTCGTCGATGCACAGGAACTGGTCGCCATTTAGGGTCTGAGTCCAAGGTTCTTGCAGATCAACCTCAGCTCGAGACTGACGTTTCACATTTAGTCGATAGCGATATCCATCATATAGAACTTGCTGCCCGCCTCTCTGTGTCGTAATAAATTCTACTCTCTGAAGAAATGCGTTTGCCATTTTGACATCACAACCAACATTTCACATCCCTTACATACTGTACATTCAAACAACAGTACACGGGGAAGAGAACATAACAACATTGCACATTGAGCAGGAAGCCTGAGAGTAGCCACTTTATTAAGGCTTTATTAAAACAACAAATCTTATCAACATAGATATAAAGTGACTTTGATCTCAAACCTATTACAGTAATTTGCATTATTAAGCAACAAACCACTTTAATTAATAAAATAACAAAACAAAACAGTGAACATATTCTTTTGGAGACACTGAGCAGGAAATGTGGGCCATCCCATTCACTGAATGAGGGGCGGATGAGTTGCCATCCTCAATTTCGTTCGGCGAAATGGGATGTAGGCGAAATTGGAACATCCCAAACGATCACCATGATGTCATGAAAACAAAGTTTTACTCCACTCCAAAACGAAACCAGTAGCTGAATTCAACGACATTCGAGCAGCTCATTTCCTTTCCAATACATGAAAGTTTCGCAAATATTCCTCCAATGTCGCATTTACAAGCTCAGGAATTGATGACTGGCCAACCCTTCGAATCCACAAAAACAGTTAGGGGATGTTTTTCCACTCTATTGCAAGTCCTGCAGTGTCTGCGCCTCGGGTTTACGTTATCGTACAAGTTCCTCCTAGATATGTTCTTTTGACTTAAAATCTGGGGATATGGATGGCCATTGTAGAACAGGAATAGGAAGAACAAGGACAGTAGTAATGCATTGTAGTGTTGAAAAAGGACGTGACATTGGTACATGAATGGACCAAGCAGTTAAGTAGTAATCGATACAAAACAATAGTGAAATATATGTAATTGGAACTATTGAACTGATATTGCATTCAAACGAGTATTCATTTTCTTCTAAATTTGCCTGTGTTCACATAACATTCAGAAATAATTTCATTCATTTTATTTGTAATAGGTATGTGGCTGAGAGGGGAGGGTTTATGCGTTATTGTACAAAAACACTCGTGCAGTTCTAATTTTGTCGGCAATGTTTGGCGATTTGTTACATGTACATTTTACACATTATTGTTATGGTTTAGTAGTCAAGTTTTTCTTTAAATTAAAAAAATGTTAAATTCTGAAATTTTGTAACAAAAGTGGGACGGAGAAGTGAGTACTGATAAATGCTTCCTGGCCTCAACCTCGCTTGCAAGCTGCCACTAAAACAGCGTTTCTTCTGAATGTGTCGATATAGCATGTTGAATAATTGTATAACTGTTTCGTCAATGTAATTTTTAATATTAATATTGATATTAACAATGTAGTTTGTTGTGATTTGTCCAGTTTTTAGTTTGAACAAAATGTTCAAATTCTGAAAACATTCATTGGCCCTCACCTCAGCAACAAGCTGCCACCAAAACAATTTTTCATCGGAATGAGTTGATGTAACATGATGTACAATTGCATATGATTAATTTTTGTCATTGTAATTATTTATTTTTAAATTTGAATTAACAATGTAACTTGTCTATTTGTAAAAGAGTTCTGAAAAGAACAACATTGAAAGCATGGCCCTGTAAATTCAGTGTTTACTTTACCCAGTCAATGCCACATGATACACATCGACACACGGACAATAACAAACAACAGACTCTACAACAGACATAAAAGAATTACCGGCAGACTCGACAATAACGGCTGTCGCCACCAGACCTGCTACTAAAAGCTGCAACATTCTTGTACACGTCTGTCTCGCCACAAGGTGGTTCTAGAATACTCGTTTCCAATCTTATCTATAGAACTAGCTTATGGTCACCCACACACAATCTAATACTGGTCTCACTTCTTCAGAGTGTAGAATTATCATATTTATAAATAGTTCAAACATTTCAAACATCAAACATTTCAAAGTTTATTCCAAATAATAAAATAGATTATAAACATTAAGAAATTTCAAACATCCTTTTACGTCAAGAATACGATATACGAACGTAAATAATGTATTGCTTTTAATAATCGATGGCCAAGTGGAAGCCACGGTGGCAGAGTGGGTAAGATTGCTGACTTTGTGAGCTTGCAATTAGGTGCATTATTCTGTGAGAGGGTTGGGGATGCGAATAGGAATCAACCCCCCAAAGAACTAGAATCTGTACTTGACTGAGATGCCAAATCCTAAATATCACATGCGTTATATTTGATTAAATATTCATGTCTATTGTTAATAAGTGTATACTGTCTACCAACATACAGGCGCGAGGCTTCAACCACGACGGGCTGTGTATACTGTCTACCAACATACAGGCGCGAGGCTTCAACCACGACGGGCTGTGTATACTGTCTACCAACATACAGGCGCGGGGCTTCAACCACGACGGGCTGTGTATACTGTCTACCAACATACAGGCGCGAGGCTTCAACCACGACGACGGGCTGTGTATACTGTCTACCAACATACAGGCGCGGGGCTTCAACCACGACGGGCTGTGTATACTGTCTACCAACATACAGGCGCGAGGCTTCAACCACGACGGGCTGTGTATACTGTCTACCAACATACAGGCGCGAGGCTTCAACCACGACGGGCTGTGTATACTGTCTACCAACCTACAGGCGCGGGGCTTCAACCACGACGGGCTGTGTATACTGTCTACCAACATACAGGCGCGAGGCTTCAACCACGACGGGCTGTGTATACTGTCTACCAACATACAGGCGCGGGGCTTCAACCAACGACGGGCTGTGTATACTGTCTACCAACATACAGGCGCGGGGCTTCAACCACGACGGGCTGTGTATACTGTCTACCAACAACATACAGGCGCGAGGCTTCAACCACGACGGGCTGTGTATACTGTCTACCAACATACAGGCGCGAGGCTTCAACCACGACGGGCTGTGTATACTGTCTACCAACATACAGGCGCGAGGCTTCAAACCCACGACGGGCTGTGTATACTGTCTACCAACATACAGGCGCGAGGCTTCAACCACGACGGGCTGTGTATACTGTCTACCAACATACAGGCGCGAGGCTTCAACCACGACGGGCTGTGTATACTGTCTACCAACATACAGGCGCGAGGCTTCAACCACGACGGGCTGTGTATACTGTCTACCAACATACAGGCGCGAGGCTTCAACCACGACGGGCTGTGTATACTGTCTACCAACATACAGGCGCGAGGCTTCAACCACGACGGGCTGTGTATACTGTCTACCAACATACAGGCGCGAGGACAGGCGCGAGGCAACCACGACGGGCTGTGTATACTGTCTACCAACATACAGGCGCGGGGCTTCAACCACGACGGTAATATGTGTATACTGTCTACCAACATACAGGCGCGAGGCTTCAACCACGGCGCGGGCTGTGTATATCTGTGTATCTGTCTACCAACACAGGCGCGAGGCAGTGTATACTGTCTACCAACATACAGGCGCGGGGCTTCAACCACGACGGGCTGTGTATACTGTCTACCAACATACAGGCGCGAGGCTTCCCCAGAGATCCACTCAGGAGACACTGCAACTAAAGGGAGAAGACAGAAGGATGAATGATAATCAAAGGGTATCTGCCTGTGACTGTGCGTGTTTGCATGCTGGTGTGTGAGTTGTTTTTTTAAAATAATGTTGTTTTACACCGCAACAAGATATGGTCCAGCTTTCTGACAGCGGCCTGTAAATAATCGCATCTGGGCCCATGTATTTGCGATGACCTCGGATGATGTTGACCTATTCCAAGCCGGAATCTCCATGAGATGGGGCTTAATGAAAGGAAATATGCAATGAGTTTCTTCAAATTGTTTCTTCAAAAGGGACATTTGTGGTCTTCGTTCCACAATTTGTCGTGTCACCTGAGATGTGGTGATCTTTGACTTTTATCTGACACCTCTGATAAAACTGAAATATTGCTCAAAGGGGTGTTAAATCAATTTCCTTCATTCATTACACAGTACAAGAAGTGTTTAGAGTATGTTGAGTACCAGACATGAAATAGGTACTTACGGTAGTGCAAGGTTTCGCTGAAAGATACACAAAGACAAAATATAATCACCCAGAACAACGCCACATGTTATATTCATTAAATAATTATATAATCGTCCCCTCTGGAAACCATTCATCAACTGTCGTTGGGGAAACATCCCTAACTTACATCCTTATAGTTGGGGTCTGTTGTAGTTTCTTTCGGTCTGTGTTAAAAGTGAGAAATGCCATTTTGGAGATATGGTGAAATTTGGTGTTCATCATTATTGGACTTCTATGCCGTCCCCACAGCATAGAGCTGATAGTTGTGAGTTCAAATCTCAGAAAAGTCTTGGTTTGTCGGCGCCACATTCCGCCTACGCTCCACACAAATTACCTTCCCCTATTACCAGGTACCATGACACGCCATTACAGAACTGAAAAGCTGTGGCGTTAAAATAAACTCCATCAATCGCTCATAACATTTGAAACGTAACGTACATGTCCTGCAGGTGCACGTCTTGCAGCCTCGACTGTCTGGCTGGAAGCCGAAGTTACACGTGAGTGAACCGCAGTCGATCGGATCGCAGTGGACTGGAAATGACACGAAATATGTTTTTTATTCTCTTTTTACAAGCGTACATAACACAAGCTTAATAAAGGCTTGTGGCGATTTAACATATTATATATTTTGTGGGAGTCGTGGGATTGAGTGGGATTGATCGGTGCCTTTGAGTACTGGCTTTTAGGTGCCTGCCTCTGGGAGTGTGGGTTAAAATCCGGCTGAGATTAGAGTTTGTAGTTCAATGAGAAACCATACCTAACCCTAATTTTACCATGACTTCAGTATATACTGGACTGTGATTGGTTCATGTAAGTCATTGAGAGGTATATAATCACGTTATAAACCTCAGATATTCCAACACAGTGTGTATTTTTTTTTAATAATCTTAATAAAGCGGTATTGTAGAATGGAGATAAACATGCTGTATTGAAAATCAGAGGTATAATAGAGGTATATAACGAACTATTATAATTTCGTTATATACCTCCGATTTTCCAACATTATATGTTTATCTCCTAAATATAACATATAAATATAACCTACCTATCTGGACACATGTACCACCCATCACAACACATGTACCTACCAGAGTAAAAAGTACTAGAGTCTGAGGTGAGGTGAGGTGAAATTGGATTTAACGTCGTGCTTGAGAATATTTCGCTCATATGACGACGTGCATGCGTGTGCGTGTGTATGTGCGGCTGCTTGTACTAGCCCAGACCTAAGCTGGTTTTATAGTGCTAGCCCATTGAGATACCACGCCGCAGTGAAGCATGGATACCCCACTCAGACACATTATACTGACTCCGAGCCAACCAGTCCATGTTGAACCAATTAATGCCGAGCGCCAGGCAGGGACCAACAAGTACCATATGTTAACGTCTTTTGGTATGACGCGGCCGGGGATCGAACCCGCGACCTTCCGCTCTCCGGGCGGAGGCTCTAACCACTACACCACGGAGGCGGTCTACTAAAGTCCGAACACAAGCCCCACCCATCGCAACACATGCACATACTGTCTGGAAGTATCTGAACACATTTACCTACCAATTGTCACACAACGGTCGCCGCATATGTGAGGACAACACCTCTGTCCTGCCCCACAGGTCCCGAAGCACTTGGGCATGTAGGCACACCCATATATCATTCCCGGGGGATCAGTCGGACACACATCTGGAATAAACAATACTGATGGCAAAGTAAGACACGCTGTTGTGCTGTACCCCTAACACGTTAACAACAGTCGGGCTATTATGATTGTTTCCAGGTGAGCAGTCACTGATTTGCTAGATGATGACTATAATCCAGAGGGCAAAAAAATTGCATGTTGAGGTGCGAATATCATCATCCCCAGTAGTGAAAAGGTGTCATATTCCCCATGAATCCATGCAGTTCTGGCAAGTTCTCAAAGAACGTATCCTTCAGAACACGACAGCATGTATATAAATTAACGCGGTCACTTTTGTCATGAAAACAAAGTTTTACTTCACTCCAAAAGGAAACCAGTAGCTGAATTCATTGACATTCGAGCAGCTCATTTCCTTTCCAACATGCACAAAAGTTTGCAAATACTCCTCCAATGTCGCATATGACAAGCACAGGAAGTGATGACTGGCCAACCCTTCGAATCCATAAGATTCCACAAAAACAGTCAGGGAGTGTTTTTCCATTCTACTGTAAGACCGAAAACACGTCATGCAATGTCCTCAGGCTTAAGTTGTTTTACAAGTTCCTCTTACACATCTTCTTTGACTTAAAATCAGGTGATATGGATGGTCATGGAAGAACAGGAATAACAAGAACACGAACAGGTGACATTCAATAGCAGTCAGGCATTGCAGGGTTGAAAAGGACGTGACTAATACATAAATAGACCAATGATTTCGTTACGGTAACCAACGGTACTTGCCAGGGACGTGTAGAAAGGCTTTTTCCAGTGTAAGAGATGACTGACAACACTTCAAATCTATCTGCCAAACATTCATTACGTCGCCTCCATATCCCTCCTGTCATGTCTTGTCATGTCATGTCATGTCATGTCAATCTCTCTGTCCTCCAACAACAGTCCTCTCCTGGTGTAACTACCTGAGGGAAGTCGACCTGTATCATAAATTGTAACTATGTAATGTGAATAACGAATTGCCTGCTTTTGAATTTGGTGCTTTCTTTTTTAAAATAATAATGTAATGAATATATATGTTTCAAAGTAAAACTTATTTGGACTTTGGACCTACAATGTTTATGAATGCAGACTTGATCTCGTCACTATATGGCTGGAATAATGCCGATGTGACGTGAAGCCCAACTTAACTCACAACCACTGATGGCGACAACATCCATTTCTTCACCTCTGAAGGTGCCAAAGTCTTCCTGGGAGATTCAGTGGCCTTCTGACTTCTGACAAACAGTCACCAACCTCCAAATGGCCAATGGCATTGTTTCGTTGAGACATGAAATTCAATCAGTCAATCAGCATTTACGAGGCCACAGGCCACATTCTCTTCTAAATGTGTCTGTGTTCACATAACATTTTGAATAACTTCATTCATTTTATTTTTCTTACGTATGTGGTTAAGAGGGCAGGGTTTATGCTTTATTGTACGAAAACATTCTCGTGCAATGCTAATTTTGTCGGCAATCTTTGGCGATTTGTTACATGTACATTTTACACATTTTCGTTATTTTGTTAATTGTACCAGTTTTTAGTTTTATCAAGATGTTCCAATTCTGAAAACGTGGTAGACATTTTGTGACAATGATGAGACGGAGACACTGAAACAGTCATTGGCCTGTACCTCGTCTACAAGCTGCTACCAAAACACTTTTGCCTCGGAATGTGTTGTACAAGTACATTTAAATTGAAATTAACAAAGTAACTTCCCGGTCCATTTGTAAAGAAGTTCTGAAAAGAAACAACATTGAAAGCATGGCCCTGTAAATTAAGTGTTTACTTTACCCAGTCGATGCCACATGATACACATTTACACACGGACAATAACAAACAACAGACTCTACAATAGACATAAAAGAATTACCGGCAGACTCGACAATAACGGCCGTCGCCACCAGACCTGCTACTAAAAGTTGCCACATTCTCCCTGTCTTGTAAACGTCTGCCTCGTCACAAACTGGTTAAAGGTTAGAAAACCCTATTCTAATCTTATCTGTAGAACTACTACACCCTCGCCGACGACACAACACGTGTTAGTACTTCACCAAAAGGACTTCAAAGGCTGTCGATATTGTGCATGCCAATATGCCAATAAACGGCGCTTAACTTACAATCCTGCAAAAGGTACAGTCATCATTTCTAATAAAAGTAACCGTAAAATTAAAACTGTAAACTACACTCTTGGCCACTCAAAGCAGGACTGTCTTGTTACATGTGAGTTCATACATCACTGACATATAACATACTTTTTTGAGCTTAGCATTTTCATATCCTGAACACAGAGCAGACTTGCAATTATGCTTGGAAATGTCCTCACGAAATATAGTCACAAAATAATGTTTGCTTTGTATACAAACACGCCTATGATTATTACAACCATAATACTATGAAAAATTATTACCTCTCCAAAATAACTTTGTACAACGTATGTGTTTTATTCGTTTTGAATGTTCTTACTGTCGTCTTTTCAGAAAACGGACTGGAAATATAAACAGTTCCGGCGAAAAGGGTTGTTACACTGAAGTGAAATGAAAATGTGTAAGGATTGAACTATGTCATGCTATGACCAATCCAGAGACGTGTTCCCTCAGCGATGTGTGGGTTTAGGGACTGTCGAGTCTGGAGAAGGCACACAAATCGCTTAACGTGCGCTCCATGGCGTCAGGAGATGATGACACACAACATCATCCTGGCAACAGCTTGGAATTAACAGAATTAAGGCCTTCATATTAAATACCGTGTCCGCTGTACGCAAGAAGTCAACTCACCCACTCATCACAAGTACGATTGGGCAAATAGTCAAATGCTCACCATTTCGAGGTGCAGAGATGCATTAGGTGGCTGTTCCTGTTCCTGTTCGAATCACAGTTGACCCTTGATTATGACCGTACGATACTTTGATGGATAACAACTGCTTTATTATATTTTCATGCAATCTGTTTGATTGGCATTTTTGAATTATTATTCAAGTTGATGAATAGTAAGAAAGGTACGATACTTTTATCAATAAAAACTTCTTTATTATAGTATTATTATTCAACTTCTAAATGCCAATCAAACGGATCAGCTAACTACGAAATTCAGGCTGTCTAGGTAACCAACGTCATCTGTTATGGTGACGAAATCGATGCATACTCAGTACCTATATACTGTCTGTCACCAGTTCCTAGTTAATACAGGTACTCCTCCAGATCACGCACAAACACACATGCTGAAGTGCAGCACGAGACTGTCTGCTCCCTATGTGTAGAGCTATGTTACTGTAATACATACGTCATATCCTGTGTTAAATCAACGTTGAATTGGGCTAACAACTACTCTACCACATCGCCATTTTTAAAATATTTAATATACGACGCCACACTCCTCAATATCGCGGTTCCATATCATAGAAGCCTGTAGTTAAATCACACTGGACCAGACAATCCAGTGATAAACAATTTGAGCAATAACCCACAATGTCAGGTATGATGACACAGAAGTTCAACTGGATGATTTACTCCCGTCTTATGACAAGCTGAGGCTACGGGGCCTTTGCTAAATGACCAAATACAAATAGTTCTCGATTTATTCATCTTTCACATGGTCTTGTCCGGTGAGCGATGACCTTATCCCAGAGTTTCACTCAGCCTACACAGCAACTGAAGGGAGAAAAAGAAAGAAAAATGACTGAATGCGATGCCTTCCCACAACAACAAAATATAACATGCTTATGACGTAATGAAGGAAATGCTTTCTGTGGTTTTGATGTCACAGTTGGCGTACAGAGTTGTGTCCCTTAGCTCTAATAGGATTTGATCTGATCATGGGTTCTGACCCTACATTTGTACTGATTATCACCTTGGTTCGTAGACACCATAGAGAGTTCTTGAGTTCAACAAATGTGATGACTTCTATAACTTGCACCACTAACTTTCCCTGACATCAATCTCTCACTCATGATAACACGGAAATATTGTTCAAAGGGGTGTTCTTTCATGACACTGTACGACATGAAAGTGCTTAGACAATAGACAAGAAAATACTGGGTACTTACGGTTGTGCATGGTTTTGCTGAAAGATGCAAAGACCACATTTTATCAGCCAATACAACTCCACATGTTATGTTCGTTAAATATTTATTTAATCGTTCGTCTCCCCTGGACATAACCTTAAATCCGGGAGCAATATCTCTAACTTGGATCCTTATAGATGAGTTCTGTTGTTTCTTGATCCGTTAAATATGAGATAAGCCATTTTGGACATATGATGAAACTTGGTATTCACGTTTATACCGCTTATGTTTGGTCCCCACGGTTGTCAAGAGCTGTTAGACGTGGGTTCAAATCCCAAATAAGCCTTGGTCTGTCTACGCCACTTTCCGTCTACAAATCCCTAATATGATGTACCCTGACACACATTACAGAACTGAACTGATGCTGGATTAGAATAACGCCACCAATGCCCAATCACATGTGGAACGTAACGTACTTGTCCTGCAGGTGCACGACTTGCAACCTCGACTGTCTGGCTGGAAGCCGAAGGTACACGTGAGTGAACCGCAGTCAATCGGGTCGCAGTGGACTGGAAATGACAAGAAAGGTGTTTTTATTCTCTTTTATACACGCGTACATAACATAAGCTTAATAAAGGCTGGTGATGATTTAACATGTGTTATATGTTGTGGAAGTCGTGGTGGTTGAGTGGGTTAGATCGGTGCCTTTGAGTGCTGGCGTTTAGGTGCCTGCCTCTGAGAGTATGGTTTCAAATCCAGCTGATATTAGTATTTATACTTAAATACAGCGTACGTAATCCAAAATATAACATCAGCCTAACTATCAACGCCACCCATCTCATCACATGAACCTACTACAGTAAAAGTACTAAAGTCTGAACACAAGTACCACTCATCTCATCACGCGGACCTACCTGTACGGACACATGTGCCACCCATCTCAACACATGTACATATCTGTCTGGACACATGTGCCACCCATCTCAACACATGTACCTACCTGTCTGGACACATGTACCGCCCATCTCAACACATACACATACTGTCTGGACACATGTACCCCCCAAACTGAACACATGTACCTACCTGTCTGGACACATGTACCGCCCATCTCAACACATACACATACTGTCTGGACACATGTACCCCCCAAACTGAACACATGTACCTACCTGTCTGGACATATGTTACCCCCATTTAAACACATGTACCTACCTGTCTGGACACATGTACCTCCCATCTCAACACATGTACCTATCTGTCTGGACACATGTACCTCTCATCTCAACACATGTACCTATCTGTCTGGACACATGTACCACTCATCTCAACACATGTACCTATCTGTCTGGACACATGTACCACCCATCTCTACACATGCACCTACCTGTCTTGACACATGTACCACTAATCTCAACACATGTACCTACCTGTCTGGACACATGTACCGCCAATCTGAACACATGAACCTATCTGTCTGGACACATGTACCACCCATCTGAACACATGTACCTACCTGTCTGGACACATGTGCCACCCATCTGAACACATGAACCTATCTGTCTGGTCACATGTACCTCTCATCTCAACACATGTACCTATCTGTCTGGACACATGTACCACCCATCTCAACACATGTACCTACCTGTCTTGACACATGTACCACTCATCTCAACACATGCACCTACCTGTCTGGGCACATGTACCACCCATCTCAACACATGTACCCACCTGTCTGGACACATGTACCACTTATCTCAACACATGCACCTATCTATCTGGACACATGTACCAACCATCTCAACACATGTACCTACCTGTTTTGACACATGTACCACCCATCTCAACACATGTACCTATCTGTCTGGACACATGTACCACTCATCTCAACACATGTACCTATCTGTCTAGACACATGTACCACCCATCTCAACACATGTACCTATCTGTCTGGTCACATGTACCTCTCATCTCAACACATGTACCTACCTGTCTGGTCACATGTACCTCTCATCTCAACACATGTACCTACCTGTCTGGACACATGTACCACTCATCTCAACACATGTACCTACCTGTCTGGACACATGTACCTCTCATCTCAACACATGTACCTATCTGTCTGGACACATGTACCACCCATCTCAACACATGTACCTACCTGTCTTGACACATGTACCACTCATCTCAACACATGTACCTACCTGTCTGGACACATGTACCGCCAATCTGAACACATGAACCTATCTCTATGGACACATGTACCACCCATCTGAACACATGTACCTACCTGTCTGGACACATGTGCCACCCATCTCAACACATGTACCTATCTGTCTGGTCACATCTCTCATCTCAACACATGTACCTATCTGTCTGGACACATGTACCACCCATCTCAACACATGTACCTACCTGTCTGGACACATGTACCACATCTCATCTCAACACATGTACCTACCTGTCTGGACACATGTACCACCCATCTCAACACATGTACCTACCTGTCTGGACACATGTACCACCCATCTCAACACATGTACCTATCTGTCTGGACACATGTACCACCCATCTCAACACATGTACCTATCTGTCTGGACACATGTACCTCTCATCTCAACACATGTACATATCTGTCTAGACACATGTACCACCCATCTCAACACATGTACCTATCTGACTGGTCACATGTACCTCTCATCTCAACACATGTACCTACCTGTCTGGTCACATGTACCTCTCATCTCAACACATGTACCTACCTGTCTGATCACATGTACCTCTCATCTCAACACATGTACCTACCTGTCTGGTCACATGTACCTCTCATCTCAACACATGTACCTATCTGTCTGGACACATGTACCTCTCATCTCAACACATGTACCTATCTGTCTGGTCACATGTACCTCTCATCTCAACACATGTACCTATCTGTCTGGACACATGTACCTCTCATCTCAACACATGTACCTATCTGTCTGGACACATGTACCTCTCATCTCAACACATG